CTTAAATTGTAAATTTCAGGACCCCCGAGCTATCCGTTCTCCCTTGGGGAGGGGGTAAAGTTTACTATAGTTTATATAGGGAAATAACACTTTTGGGTATATTTTGACAACTTTCTGTAGGAAATTATTTTTACTTGGTGAGAATTATCCTTGGAGGTAGATGGTTTCAAATTGTAAAATTGAGATTCCTACCCCGACCCCTGGGGCCAGGGCGGGGCCCCAAAGGGAAAATTAATCAATATTTCAAAAATCTTCTTCTCCAGACTCAGAGGTACTACAGTGATTTTCTTTACGTGGAAAGAAAGATCATCAGGGGCTTTATTTAAATTGAAAATATCAGGACCCCGAGCTATCCGTTCTCCCTTGGGGAGGGGTTAACGTTTAATATAGTTTATATAGGGAAATAACACTTTTCGGTATATATTTTATATATTTTCAGCAGAAAATTGCTCAAACTTAGTCAGAATCATCTTGGGTAAATGAGAGTTTTACTTTGTAAAATTAGGATTCCTGCCCCATCCCCAGGGGCTAGAGCGGGGCCCCAAAGGAAACATTTACCAATATTTTCAAATTCTTATCCATTGATGACATGACAAGTATTGAATTTCACTTAGTTTACATGCTGATTTCCACATCACATCTAAACAATAAAATAAAGCTACCAGTATCTATGATATAACTCAGGTGACCGCTAAGGCCCTTGGGCCTCTTGTTTCATATTATTCCCAACAAGTGATTGGCCAGGAGTGCATCACATGTCCACCGATAAAAAACGATATTGACTTGGAGCGCATGATTTTTGTTGAAAGACTGGTAGCTGCGATAACGTAGAGCTCTTTCTGACGACGAGAGATTTTTTTATATATTGTGTCGTCAGAGCTTCGAAGCGTTCCTATGCCAACTAATGGAGCAAAATCAAAAGTGTTAATCTTTAAGATTGCATATAATTCACGCCTCATATGAGTATAATGTTATCAAAATATTGCATAATTGTTGAAAAAACTAATCCTTACCCATGCAAAAACTCTTTTACGAAATTAACAAAGTCCGTCTTGGGGAAAGAAATAGAAACAACCGCCATGACAGATCACGCATGATGTTATCTCAATTTTCCTTTCTATATATGGCCTGCATGGCCAAATATAGTATTACTACTGATGCCGCCATGTTTACTACAATTTCCATATTGGGTCATGACACCCATATTTGGACATCTGACCTATATCGGAAGAGAGACGAACTTTCCAACATGGCGGTCAATTCAGATTTCGATTACGCTTGCTAGGTTAACTTGATAATTTAACGACATTTTAGGCAGAGGTAAACTTCAAGTTGTGCAGGATATCAACAGAAATAGTTGATACTAAAACCTTTTTTATGGATGCGGACCAATGTGCTGTCAATTAGTTCTGAAATAGCCCCGGTGTGATTCACACAAGGCTTGCTCCATTACAAGGCATTGGATCTATTTAATACCTGGCCGGGGCAGAGGAGGCCAGGTATTAATATATGTACTAAAGGACTGGGTGTTTCTAAAAATAGAATTATGACGTGTCTCCAAACAATGCACCTTCCCACTTCCGAAGCTTTTTTGTTGTGGGTTTTTTCAGATTGCTTACATTACTGTCTTGTAAAATAATAAAACAATTGTAGCCTTTAACTTCGGTCAATACCTGGATTTATCGACCCGAGAAAAGAAATATTGACCTCGGACTGCGTCCTCGGTCAATATATCTTTTCTGGGGTCGATAAATCCAGGTATCGACCTCAGCCAAAGGCTATAATTGAATAATATTTCCACTGAATAAATCACAACTGAGCATAAAACCAATAAGGCTGTCTGAAGTTGGGAAAAAGCATGCAAAGCAAGTGAGATTTTACCTGTACACCATTCAAAACACATTCAGGTTCTCACTCGGGTAATCTGGCTCGACTTTTATTAATAGCCTTGTTAGCTTCATGAATTATTTTAAAATATCCAATGAAAATACATGCAATCATTCTTGAGATTTGAAGTATTTTCTTACATTTTTCTCAATACTAGACACGGATACTCCAGAAATGCATGTACAGGTAAGTGTTTTCATGAATTATAATATTCAGTGCAATTTTGCGCCACTAAAATTCTGCATTGAAAAGTTACTTTTCAGACAAAATCAAGAATATATTCGACAATTAATTTCTGCAAAGGTCACTATTGACATTGTTCTTGACATTGGTATACCAACCAACTTCCATATTTTTTCCATTTTGAGGAAAAGTTATATATATATATATATGAGCCCATCACATACTACAATGTATATACACTGACAAAGGCATGTATGAAACACCTTAAGATTGGAGAAGCTGGAACTGCCTGCAGCCTAGCTAAGATACTGTAGTGTGATATTGATGTCTGACATGTAGTTTGCAGGCTATTCCTCACAAAAGCCTGCAAACTATCCTTGGGTTACCGGTTTCCGCGCATTTAAGAAGCATCCACGATTTCGTACTCATATCGGCAGAAAACTGTTGATATAACGGATAACTGTCATAAACATGTATACAATCTACTAACGGAAACAAAAAACTAGCAACATAAAACTGTATTTTAGAAAATTAGCTGTCATATGTTTCCATGTATCTATTTTGATTTAGTGTTCAAAGAAAGATAACTCGAATACACTAAAAAGAAATTCTCTACAGTGACCTGCAAGAACAAAAGCTTCATTTGGAATAAAAAAAATATCTTTGATTGTCAAATTAATTATCAAAACTATTTTTTTTAAATTCCACATTTTTAATTGATTTTTAGCTCACCTGCCCAAAGGGCATGTGATCATGAGTTTATGTCATGGTGCGTCGTCCGTCTGTCCTCGTCCGTCAACTTTTCCTTTAAACAACTTCTTCTGAAGAACAGACAGGCCTAGAGTCATGATATTTGGCTGAAAGCTTTGTTGGTTGGAGCCCTACAAAGTATGAGAACGAAAATGACCTTGACCTTCTTTCAAGGTCACAGGGGTCAAATATGTCAAAAACTTCAGAAGACTTCTTCTGAAGAACTGAAAGGTATAGAATCTTTATATTTGGCTGGTGGCCTTCTGGGATAGAGCCCAAAAATGTTTGCGAATGAAAATTAGTTTGACCTACTTTCATGGTCACAGGGGTCAAATATGTCAAAAACTTTAAACAACTTCTTCTGAAGAAATAAAAGGCAATTTTCTCACACAAACCAATGACGTAATAATCAATACCTTCTCACAAGCGGAGATAACTCTGCAATACGCAAAGACAGAATTGAGGTAGGAAAATTCCAATGGCCACCCCCTCTTCCGTTTTAACTATTGTCTTACCCAATTGAGTATCGCTAGTGCTAAATTAAAGGATTTATCTGATAGAAAAGATGTGCATCGTTTATTGGCTATTTTACTAAAAGGAACTTTAAATGAAATACTAGAAATGTTACAGAAAATAGGAGGCTGTGTTTCTTTTGCGTGTCAGTATATATCATATTAACCCTTTCACCACTGTAGACCATAATGGACTCATCCAGAGTAAAGCATGGTAGAGTCTACTAAAGTTACATAGGGGTGAAAGGGTTAAGGCTATGTACGTACTGCATGTCAGGGTCAGAGGAAACTTGGGCTCATCACAGGGGTTCATCACAAATGTCTGAAATACACATATATATGCTATGCTGATATGGGTCACAGCACACAAAAACATATTGTATGTTTATGTGTGCTCTGACCTATATTCAGAAATAATGTATTGTGAAAATGTAAGCATCATTTTAACATGCTGGTTTTCTCGCTGTACATTTCTTAGCTCACATGGTATTTTTTCACATTTTAGGTACTAAACTTTCCTAATACAACATTACCCGTTGAACAGCGGTCATTTCATACAGCTCAGGTGCAGCTCCGGTATGTCGACTGGAAAATGAAACGTGACGCCAAACGGAGGGAGCTTATCAAGGAGTATGGAGCAGAGAGGCTGAGATATAATGCCATCAAGCGCAACACTATCCTGCCGTCAAAATTAAGGGTGTGTATTGTGGTGTTCAAGTCTTCAGTTGTCGCTCTCTTGATGTTGTGCCAATGTGACGACACTATGCAAACATGTCATGTCCTCAATTCTCGAGTCATGACCAACAGGTCTTCATTGCTTTTGAAATTGTGCCTGTTGTTTAGAATTGGGAAAATTGTGTCACAGTACCTGTGAAATATCCTTGTCTCACTCTCGGGTTGAGACTGGGGGGAATTCCCCTATTCATAACAATTGTATGACGTCACGTCAACAATACGATGACATCACATCAAAAATACGATGACATCACATCAACAATGCATCAATGTCACATCAACTCTGCATTTAGCCTGTAACGTTAACACTACATTATGTATATCATTACAGTGTTCTCCCCAGATTTTTTTTGATGCGCTATGGTATTCTTCAACCCTTCCATCACAGCGCGGCGCTGTCGACCATTACCACGTCACAACCCATCTATCGTGCGCGACACCACTTTGAGAAAGGAAACTCAAAACAAGAGTTATAGTTGATGTATTTAACTTTGAATAAATAGCATTACTTATCATCCTGACATTGCATTAATATTATTACTCATTTTCTTGCCCTATTATTTTTCTTTATCATTATTTTTTTAACAACTACAAATAAAATAGTCTGACTCAAGAAAATGGATAATTTTAGCAAACACTTCAGCAAATTCTTCAGCATTTTTCCCCAAGAATATCATCATAGAAATAAATGAATATATGTCCCGGGAATAAATAAGTTATAATAACATTTCCAACCAAAGGTATTTATTTGGACAAATATTTAATTAATTTTTAAATCAATGATTTATTTTTAAAAAAAATAAAAAAAAAACATCCCTTATTTATGAAATTAACAGGGCCTACATGTAGATATACCTGTTATCATTCAGCAAACAAAAAATCTAAAAATGTTCACAACAATGCTGTTCTCAATATAAACTTACATAGTGATTAGTTATCAAAATGAATTATTGTAATTATCCAGTAAAAATAATCTTAAAATATTGTTACTGTCAAACTGTGAAAACCATGTGCTATTTATAATTTAAAACGGCCTGGGGAGAACACTGTATATGATTCACAATGGGTGAACAGGGTAAGAGAAAAAAAGATTCATTCACCGTTTTGAGGATGAGAAAGGGGAATCTCAACCCTCGGGGAAAGATTCATAAGTTGCCAAACACTTAGCTCATCCCTCTCAGGTTGAGATTCTCCTTTCTCGACCCTAAGGGGGGCGAGAGATTCTATTAATATTGCACCAAGGACAGACAGGACAGGAGAAAATATCATCAATTTTTCAAAATAAGAAAAATGTGCTCTAATGCCAAAAAAAAGGTTTATGCCAAACTCTATGAAATGATAAAATGAGTATGTTTCATTTTGTTTCATGTACCATTTCTTTTTTTGGTATTTTGCAGGAAAAAGCCGCAGAGGACATAAGGACACTCCCTCTGGATAGCTCTATAACTCGTGTACACAAGCGCTGTATTATATCATCACGACCTAGGGGAAACCTGAACAGATTCCGAATGAGTAGAATTGTATGGAGGAAGTTAGCAGACTATAACAAATTGTCTGGCGTGACTCGATCTTCATGGTGAAGGCTTGTGTGGCTTGTTTCTATGACGGTGAATTTAAACCTCAAGATCGGTTGATTCCACGGAATAATCTTCATATCAACATATTGTGGTCCAACACAATATAGAGTGTATCGTAAAGAGACTTTATTGAGAGGATTTCCATACAGGCATGACTCTATTTGTTCACACAAGATAATTTATGTGTAGATATTTTTGTGAAAAGGGACAAACAAGAATATATTAGTGAAATATTCTACATTTGAGGCTGATTTTTTTTCATACTGTTTGAATGTATACAAGAATTGAATGTTTATAATATAGTTTCATTGTCACCTAGTTTGATAGGGGAATGAAAGTGTATGCCATTATTTTGATTTACCTTTGCATTTAATTGAATAAATAGTGCTGATTCAAATACTTTTTCAATTTGATCTTAAAACCAATTTCTGGTTTTAGTTTTCAGCTCACCTGCCTAAAGGGCTAGTGAGCTAATGCCATAGTCTGGCGTCCAGCGTCCGGCAACTTTTCTTTTGAACGTCTTCTGAAGAATGGACAGGCCTAGAGTCTACTCCAACAATGTTAGAGGTTTTACACGGCGAAAAACTTTTGACAGGCGCCGCGTAACCTCTAACTGCCCATAGCTGATTTTCCCGATGCTGTCTATCACATTTTCAAAGTTCGGATTAAGAAAGAGTATATCGTGTTTACATACATTTAAATGGTCAAAAGGGTCCAATAAATATTCCTCTTCATAAATCCATGATTATATGAGAAAATTTTCATGTCAAAGACATAAATAATGAGTTTTTCCTCATTCGAAGCGAAGCAGACAGCATTTGCCATGATTTTTCCGGTTAATACAAAAATGGATTACATGTAATGTTTCACAAGCGGAATACAAACAAACTCCGTATCATTTCGTTCCGTTTGAAATCCCCCCTGATATTTTGTATTAATCCAGAAGCCATGTTTTAAATGTAGGTCAGAGATGTGCTACAACGACATGGACATGTATTTTGAGTGTTCTATTCCGTAATATACTATATATTTGTGTCTGTGACATATATATGAGATCTATATTATATAAACCGTGAGTAGACATCGTTGTCATGAACTGTTAACCACTTATGTGAGTTTTTCAAGCCGATTTTGTTCCGCCCGGATTTCGGGCGGAAACTGCATCAAAGAATTAGTGCTTCGGAAATGAGAGGTCGCAGTCGGCATAATCATATCCGATTGAAAAAAGGCCGACCAGCGGCCTCTCATGTTATGGGAGTAGCCTAGAGTCATGATACTTGGGTCATAGTTTTGTAAGTTAGAGCTTAACAAAGTTTGACTAAACTGACTAAGTTGGCTAATGAAAATTGCCTCAATCTACTTTCAAGGTCACAGTGGTCAGATATAGCAAAAACTACAAACAGCTTCTTTTGAAGAAGTGAGCTTACTTTTGTAAGTATAAAAAACCACGTCTGAACAACTATTACACCGCCAAGTTCAGACGTATTATTATATACTTGCATTGACTGGTGGTGTACTAGGTGTTTAGACGTATTATTATATACTTCCATTGACTGGCGGTGTACTAGGTGTTCAGACGTATTATTATATACTTACATTGACTGGCGGTGTACTAGGTGTTCAGACGTATTATTATATACTTACATTGACTGGCGGTGTACTAGGTGTTTAGACGTATTATTATATACTTACATTGACTGGCGGTGTACTAGGTGTTTAGACGTATTATTATATACTTACATTGACTGGCGGTGTACTAGGTGTTTAGACGTATTATTATATACTTACATTGACTGGCGGTGTACTAGGTGTTTAGACGTATTATTATATACTTACATTGACTGGCGGTGTACTAGGTGTTTAGACGTATTATTATATACTTACATTGACTGGCGGTGTACTAGGTGTTTAGACGTATTATTATATACTTACATTGACTGGCGGTGTACTAGGTGTTTAGACGTATTATTATATACTTACATTGACTGGCGGTGTACTAGGTGTTTAGACGTATTATTATATACTTACATTGACTGGCGGTGTACTAGGTGTTTAGACGTATTATTATATACTTACATTGACTGGCGGTGTACTAGGTGTTTAGACGTATTATTATATACTTACATTGACTGGCGGTGTACTAGGTGTTTAGACGTATTATTATATACTTACATTGACTGGCGGTGTACTAGGTGTTTAGACGTATTATTATATACTTACATTGACTGGCGGTGTACTAGGTGTTTAGACGTATTATTATATACTTACATTGACTGGCGGTGTACTAGGTGTTTAGACGTATTATTATATACTTACATTGACTGGCGGTGTACTAGGTGTTTAGACGTATTATTATATACTTACATTGACTGGCGGTGTACTAGGTGTTTAGACGTATTATTATATACTTACATTGACTGGCGGTGTACTAGGTGTTTAGACGTATTATTATATACTTACATTGACTGGCGGTGTACTAGGTGTTTAGACGTATTATTATATACTTACATTGACTGGCGGTGTACTAGGTGTTTAGACGTATTATTATATACTTACATTGACTGGCGGTGTACTAGGTGTTTAGACGTATTATTATATACTTACATTGACTGGCGGTGTACTAGGTGTTTAGACGTATTATTATATACTTACATTGACTGGCGGTGTACTAGGTGTTTAGACGTATTATTATATACTTACATTGACTGGCGGTGTACTAGGTGTTTAGACGTATTATTATATACTTACATTGACTGGCGGTGTACTAGGTGTTTAGACGTATTATTATATACTTACATTGACTGGCGGTGTACTAGGTGTTTAGACGTATTATTATATACTTACATTGACTGGCGGTGTACTAGGTGTTTAGACGTATTATTATATACTTACATTGACTGGCGGTGTACTAGGTGTTTAGACGTATTATTATATACTTACATTGACTGGCGGTGTACTAGGTGTTTAGACGTATTATTATATACTTACATTGACTGGCGGTGTACTAGGTGTTTAGACGTATTATTATATACTTACATTGACTGGCGGTGTACTAGGTGTTTAGACGTATTATTATATACTTACATTGACTGGCGGTGTACTAGGTGTTTAGACGTATTATTATATACTTACATTGACTGGCGGTGTACTAGGTGTTTAGACGTATTATTATATACTTACATTGACTGGCGGTGTACTAGGTGTTTAGACGTATTATTATATACTTACATTGACTGGCGGTGTACTAGGTGTTTAGACGTATTTTTATATACTTACATTGACTGGCGGTGTACTAGGTGTTTAGACGTATTTATATATACTCACATTGACTGGCGGTGTACTAGGTGTTTAGACGTATTATTATATACTTACTTTGACTGGCGGTGTACTAGGTGTTCCGACGTATTTTTATATACTTACATTGACTGGCGGTGTACTAGGTGTTCCGACGTATTTTTATATACTTACATTGACTGGCGGTGTACTAGGTGTTCCGACGTATTATTATATACTTACTTTGACTGGCGGTGTACTAGGTGTTCAGACGTATTATTATATACTTACATTGACTGGCGGTGTACTAGTTGTTCATATTAACTCACCGTGCAAACTATACCATAACAAGCCATACAAACACTTACACCGTACAAACTATACGTAATCCGCCATACACACAATAACACTGTGCAAACTATACCATAACAAGCCATACAACCACTTACACCGTACAAACTATACGTAATCCGCCATATACACACAATAACACCGTGCAAACTATACCATAACAAGCCATACACACACCTACACCGTGCAAACTATACCCTAACAAGCCATACACACAATAACACCGTGCAAACGATACCGTCACACGCCAAACACACAATAACACCGTGCAAACTAGACCGTCACACGCCAAACACACAATAACAACACTGTGCAAACTACACCTAACAAACCATACACACAATAACACCGTGCAAAATATACCATAACAAGTCATACACACACCTACACCGTGTAAACTACCATAACAAGCCATACACACACCTACACCGTGCAAACTATACCGTAACACGCCATACACACACCACATCTATACCGTGCAAACTTTACCGTAACACGCCATACACACAACACACCTACATCGTGCGAATCATAACGTTACACACCATGCACACCTTCACCGTTGAAACTTTACCGTTACACGCCATACACACACCACACCTACATCGTGCAAATTATAACGTTACACCCCATGCACACCTACATCGTACAGACTATACAGTTACACCCCATACACACACCTAAACCGTGCAAACTCTACCGTAATACGCCATACGCACACCACACCTACATCGTTCAGACTATACCGTAATACGTCATACGCACATTTACAACGTGAAAACTATACATTAACACGCCATACACACACCTATACGGTGCAGACTACACAGTTACACCCCATGCACACACCTACATTGTGCAAACTATACATTAACACGCCATACACACACCACACCTATATCGTGTAAACTATACCGTTACACGCCATACACACACTTACACCATGCAAACTACCGTTACACACCATACACACACTTACACCGTGCAAATTATACCGTTACACGCCATACACACACCACACTTACACCGTGCACACCATACTGTTACACGCCATACACATACCGATGCCACTGAAAAATGAATAAAAGATTAGCAGGTACTTCAGAAATCTAGACCACATACACACTTCTTTTAATGCTTTTTTTTTTAGACAAAGTGTCGAAAAAATTACATCCGTTCTGATTTTAGGTTCACATTACCAGTCATAGATCACGTTATAGAGATGTCTATGTGCATCGTTGCTAGGTTTTATCTGCGTGCGCCGGTTAGTACTGGGCATTCGACTTTATTAACGAACCGAGCAGATCCTTCGTTGTTACAGTCCGTGGGATGGGAATTCAAATCGTGGCCCGTGTGAGAACTGTCCAATCCCGCACGAAAAGGTCCCTCTGGGTTTTAGAAAAGTAGTAGGCGTGAAAACGCCGACGCAGAGGATAGGGTTCTCTTTTGTTTAAACATATTTTATTGCCAAAAAATGGAAGAGGATTGGGCACAAGTTACATGAACATTATTAACGCCCTTTCCTTATAAGATAAATAATTGTATATACACATCATAAGATGGATTTCATAGTTTAAATCACTACATTTATCTTTATCTATTATTGAGAGAGAGAGAGAGAGAGAGAGAGAGAGAGAGAGAGAGAGAGAGAGAGAGAGAGAGAGAGAGAGAGAGAGAGAGAGAGAGAGAGAGAGAGAGAGAGAGAGAGAGAGAGAGAGAGAGAGAGAGAGAGAGAGAGAGAGAGAGAGAGAGAGAGAGAGAGAGAGAGAGAGAGAGAGAGAGAGAGAGAGAGAGAGAGAGAGAGAGAGAGAGAGAGAGAGAGAGAGAGAGAGAGAGAGAGAATGTTACTTATATAAATTATAATGTACATCTCAATATTCAACATATAATGCACACATTCATTCTTTTTTGAAATTTGGTCATTTTCTCTTTATTAAACATACCAAACAAAAATGTATAGAATAGTCAGGAGCTGGTGTAGCCGGTGGCGGCTCAGTACCTCACTTCCGGTCCGGGCTTGGTGCTGATATGCGACTAATGTTAGGTTAAGGCCTAGGAGTCGTCTTACAAAAACTAGACTTATACATTAAATACATATGGGATAGATGGCTCCTTCTCTCCTCCGTTTCCCTCTTCAATTCCTTCGCTCAATACTGTATCCCTTCTACTCATTTTCCAGTCTTTTCTTCGTCTGCTGGATAACCGAACTACTCGGTAGTGAAACGGACGTAAAACCACGGAATTAGATTATCTAAGTCCGTGGTAAAACTAATCAATCAATCAATCAATCACCCTTAGTTTACTCAACTATTATGATTGGCCATATGACGGCCTTAACTGTCACGAGGACGCAAACTCCTAGCCAATCAGATTGGTATGGATTACGTGTGCTTGACGGGTAAACGCTCTGCTCGGTAACACGCCATAGTTAGGCAGTTGGGATACTGTACAAGTGCGATATCTCGATTTTTTAAAAACTGAGCAATCGGTTCATCATCGATATATCCGGCCATTGACGCAAAACCTAGTGATGTGGCGGGAAAAAAGATGAATTATGACGTCATGCACTGTAGTACATTATGACGTCAAAACAATCCAATATTATAATGTTATGCTTGACAACCATAGATGTCGGCGGCAAGGAAGGATTGGTAATTTACTATAGTGAGTTTTATTCTTAGGAACCGGTAGGAAATACACGAAAAAATGGAATCGGATGATTACGAAGAAAACTCAAGAGGAAGACAACTAGGGAAGCGATTTAGTATCCATTCGTGTCTTGTTTACGATGAAATGAGAAGATTTGGCCAGCTATGTGACGCAGTGATAAAAGCAGAGCGCCGAGAATTTCCTATCCACAGAGCGATCATGTCGGCCTGTAGTCCCTACTTCAGAGCATTATTTACCAATGCTTTAGATTCTGTGGAGAAAAGAGAGGTTGAGATACCGGGAGTTAGTGCGGATATAATGCAGGTTATTATAGACTATGCCTATACACGGCGAGCAAGAATTGATGGAAGCAACGTGGAACAACTCCTTCCGGCGGCCGACCAGCTACTGGTACACGGCCTGGTCACCGGCTGCTGTGATTTCCTCGCCGGTCAACTAGAGGCAGAAAATTGTATCGGTATTTTAAACTTTGCACGTGCCTACTTCTGTCATAAATTGGTAAAAACCGCATACCGCTTCCTTATGCACAACTTTAGCGAAGTTCTGGCTTCCAGCTCAGAGTATAACGACCTTAGTGTTGAGGGGGTATGTGAGATATTGTCATCTGACGATCTCAATGTGAAAAATGAAGAAATGACAATTGCAGCATTGTTTCGATGGATCGATTGCGACCCCGAAAACCGGAAGTGCCATATTGTTCCCTTGCTTCGGACCGTTCGCCTAGGGCTTCTGTCCACCAAGTTCTTTGTGGAGAAGGTGAAATCGCACCCGTACGTCAAGGAGAGTGTGGAATGCAAACCTCTTATTATCGAAACCCTCAAATTTCTATATAATCTGGATATAAACGAGGACAAAGCCCTCGACATTACCAATTCGCTCGCACAACCTCGCGTTCCGCACGAGGTCATGTTCGTTATAGGCGGATGGAGCGGAGGGGCTCCCACCAATATTGTGGAAACGTACGACACACGCGCTGATAAATGGATTATTTGCGACTCAAAGGATGAAGGTAAGTTTCAAATTTGTACTATTTACTTAATTTTAAGGACGGATAAGTTTAATAACTTTACTTACATGTATGCATTTACAATTTATATTCGTGTGCTCTTTATTTCACGAACTATGTATATTGATTTTATTCTTAAACACTTGAATTCGTTATTGAGGTGAAAATGTACAGTAAAATATCGATATAATACCGGTCACCTTTTTGTCACTTCTCTCACTGCAAATGTACAAATTCAATGTAAATTTTATTTCTTCTTTACAAATCCTTTATGCGTATCCCTCGATACATCGCCTCGTAACGCCAATGCCAAAAGTTCACCTGACGAATGATAGCAGTGTAACTAGATTTGAAGATAAGATAAGTTTATTTCCGGTTCAGGACTTATACATAACGCCCTCTATACCAGACTCAAAAAATACATACAAAGTATTACTATGCGTATATACAATTTGACAATTATATGATTGCAGAGGCTGTCTCTGTCCATTTATCCAACACTTCTCAAAGTTGTAAGGAAGTTGACCTTCCAGATATGAAGCTGTACTGCTTCTGCGAGAAGTATTTGTTATTTCTCATGAACTTTAATTGCTAAGTATTCCCTTATGACGGATTCCAAGACTTTGCATACGACCGATGTTAAACTCACAGGCCGATAGTTTTCTGCTGCGTATTTGTCATCCTTCTTAAAGATGGCACAACCCCGGACTTTTTTTCCAGTCATCTGGTAGAGTTCCTGTTGTCAGCGATTGGTTGAAAAGATTCGTCAGTGGGCATGTTATTGCTGGAGCAATGTTTTTAAGAAACATTGAATGGAGCTCATCCAGTCCTGGAGACTTTTCTGGTTTGAGGGCTTGTAATAGTTGTACTACAACCTCTTCTTTGACTGTTAGGACTGTCATTACTTCATTTACCCCTCTTTAATACAAGCGCGGTGTGATACCACTCTCCTTCTCATTCACAAAGACATTACTGAAAAACGTACAAAGTATATTTGCTTTATCTTTGTCCTTTCAGATTTTGATGACTGTTCGTCTTCTGGGTTTGAGAATAGATCTCAAATATTGGATTTAGTTGTTGATTTTGATTTTACATAGATCCAGATTGCTTTAGGGTCCGGTCCGCTTTGGCTCTTTTTACAATGTTGTGTCCATACTCTTTCCTGAGTTGACGAGTTAGTTTCTATATTTTGTTTCTGACTTTACTTTGTTTCCGACTTTACTCTGACTTTATTTTGTTTCCGACTTTACTTTGTGTAATTGCATTTAATCGTAACATGGAATGAATTGCATTTGTAATGAGTTGCTATTTCATGACATGTATGAAACCAGTCTTGCATGTTTTGTTAAACAATCTCAGATCATCAGCACATCTTTAAAGTAGCCATCCTGATGTCCTACCTATTCATATTCAGTATGACGTCACGCTGCTTTAATGGGTGATTTAAGGAACATTATCTATCTTGGTCAGGTTATGAGGTATAATTGAGCTAGTGTGAATAGATGACGAAGCCCTCTCTGATAAATTTACTAGTGCTCAACTGCAGTTATCATTTGCATAAGCATTGGTCAACTCCGCCCACATCAGGGGCGGGTCCAGGTGAGGGCGTAATGGGCGTACACACCCCCCCCCCCCCCCCCCCCCCCCCTTCAAAAAAAACCAAAAAACACCTATCGTAATCTGCTAATATTGTATTGAATATGGCGATTTATCATATTCATTAATTAAACACATACTCTGATTTCTTGTTATACTGACACCCTGACAATTTAACTATAAAATATACATGCTCCAAGTCAGGAACCGTTACATTAGTGCATTTTACAATTATTTCATGGTTTTTTAGCCAAAAAAAGGACCATTTTTTTTAGACTCGCTCCGCTCGGCGATTTTTTTATTCTACGCCCCCTCTTTCAAATATCCTTGAAACGCCCCTGCACATCTAAATAGTGATTGACGTCACATGATTGTCTCTCGTTCGAGGAAAAGGTGGATATCTCCACCAACATGTATGTCGACGTCATGGAAACGTGTCACTGCGCGTTCTATGATAAGATAACTCCAGTCTACGGGGAAAATAGTTATTGAATGAATGTCAGTGTATATTGTATACATATATATTAATTCAATAGGCCAAGATAAGACGATATATATATAGTCACGTGATAAATATTTAAAGAGACGCTCCTTAGTATAGACTTTGTATCAGCATTACCAGCGATTATCCTAAGGTCTTTCAATGTTCTCCGTGGGTGTGGCTTTTCTCTTACGTGAGGTACTGAAGATCTGAGGTACATTCTTGAGTCCGGGATATATTTTAGTTACATTAACAAAAAATGGTAGTTAGTGTGACGTGTGTTGTAGGGTATGGTTAGTTTGATCTGTCGTTGGTAGTTAGTCTGACGTGTGTTGTAGGGCTTGGTTAGTTTGATATGTCGTTGGTAGTTATGTGACGTGTGGTGTAGGGCGTGGTTAGTTTGATCTGTCGTTGGTATAGTTAGTGTGACGTGTGTTGTAGGGCTTGGTTAGTTTGATCTGTCGTTGTAAGTTAGTGTGACGTGTGTTGTATGGCTTGGTTAGTTTGATCTGTCGTTGGTAGTTTGTGTGACGTGTGTTGTAGGGCTTGGTTAGTTTGATATGTCGTTGGTAGTTAGTGTGACGTGTGTTGTAGGGCTTGGTTAGTTTGATATGTCGTTGTTAGGTAGTGTGACGTGTGTTGTAGGGCTTGGTTAGTTTTAACTGTCTTTGTTAGTTAGTGTGACGTATGTTGTATGGCTTGGTTAGTTTGATTTGTCGTTGGTAGTTTGTGTGACGTGTGTTGTATGGCTTGGCTAGTTTGATATGTCGTTGATAGTTAGTGTGACGTGTGTTGTAGGGCTTGGTTAGTTTGATATGTCGTTGGTAGTTAGTGTGACGTGTGTTGTAGGGCTTGATTAGTTTGATCTGTCGTTGGTAGTTAGTGTGACGTGCGTTGTAGGGCGTGGTTAGTTTGATCTGTCGTTGGTATAGTTAGTGTGACGTGTGTTGTAGGGCTTGGTTAGTTTGATCTGTCGTTTGTACTATAGTTTACTATTGTGACGTGTGTTGTAGGGCGTAATAAGTTTGATTTGATGAATAAATTAATATTCTCTGATAAGAATCATTGTTATATTTACATAGTCCCCCGAGCCTACCACGGAACTGTCACCATTGACTTAAAAATTTTCGTCATCGGAGGCTTCGACGGGACACAATATTTCAACAGTGTCCGGTGTTTTGACCCCGTTGCGAAGACATGGTCCGAAGCTGCACCGATGAACTCCAAAAGGTTAGAAATTTTGAAATCCTGCGAAATCCATCTTTCTATTTCTTTTGAAAGTATGCCCGCTTAAGTTTTGTTACCTTGTCGCTGAAATTGTAAGAAATTATTTGATTAATGATGTATTACGTTCCCTCTGATTGGTTGGTTGCAGATGTTACGTAAGCACGGCTGTGCTGGGGGCCTACATCTATGCCATGGGGGGCTATGACGGTCACACAAGACTGAATACGGCGGAACACTATTTCCCCGGCCGGAATCAGTGGAGCCTCATCGCACCCATGAATCAGCAACGTAGTGACGCAGACGCTACCACTCTGCAAGGTAACCATAGCAACCATTTTTAATGGTCACCATATATAAACCATTCTGCTGGTAACCATTAAACACAGTACCCGTTGTAACTATAAATATATGTTAAATGTAGAAAACACCCAAGGAACAAAGAAAATACGTTCTGTTACAAAGTCAGCTGGGACCATTAAAAACCACTGACCGTGATTACTTCAGAAACGCCTTGGCGACAACAATAGAAACCATGGTAACTAGAAACACTGCCCTCTATAGTCAGCGGCAATCATCAAGTTTTCTGTGGTAATCAGAAACCACAGTTTTCTGTGGTGGTAACAAGAAACACTATTTTGTACAGTAAGTATAAGTGCCACACTCTGAAGCGGACGTTAAAACAATCCAACAAATAAATCATGACAGAAAATAAACGCTAGCCCAAGTTTCATGAAGTTTTCTGAAGGAAGTTCATTGACTTCGAAAGAATTGCTTGAGTTCAGAAAAAAACACATAAAACCAAGAATTATAAGTAAAGCAATGCTTTTCAAATGGAGAAAAAACAAAGTATTTCCTTCAGTCGAGGAACGTGAGTGACACTGGATCTATGTCACATTATAACCGGTAAGTGGATGAAACGAGCGTGTGGTGTTTGGAGGGTTCGTGTAGCGGGCTCGATTTTTTAGCTCACCTGGTTAGAAGGAGGACCTGGTGAGCTTATGCCGTACCGTGGTGTCCGGCGTCTGTCGTCCGTCGTCTGTACGTCAACATTCCTTTTTCAAACGACTTCCCCTTCTTAACCACTGATTTAAGTTTGACCAAATTTGACCGTGAAAGAATCCCTATAGGTTGTGGGGATTCAAAATTATACAAATGGAGGGGCTTACCCCCGGGGGTCTGAGAAGCGGAGACAAAACGGGGTTATTTGGACATATAAACGCTTTAAGCGGCTTCCATGGAACTATCTGAATGGAAGCATTCTCACTTGGTAGGGGTTCAGAATTGTACAAATGCAGAATTGTACAAATGCAGGGAACTAACCCCTGGGGGCTGAGGGGCAGGGCCGAAAAAGGGTAATGTGACCATATTCCTTTAAGTGCCTTCTTCGCTGAAACTAGGAGATTGATACGAACCATTTGATTTGGTGGGAATTCACAACTACAAACTGACCCCGGTCTGAGGGGTGGGTTCAAAAAGAAGTTTTAACTTGGACATTATCAAGATCCCCACCCTATTTCCGTATATATACAATTGCATTGCTGTAAAATTGATTGAACAGATTGTATATTGTATATTTGGAAATAGGGTGGGGATCTTGATAATGTCCAAGTTAAAAAAAATCAATTACACTTATTATACGTTTGCACGTCCAAATAACCCCGTTTTGTCTCCGCTTCTCAGAGTCAGCCCTTCCACTTGTACAAAGGCAAATCCAACATGTCCAGTTGGCATTCATAGTGCCTATGAATGCCAACTGAAAGCAGTTCAATGCTTAAATGAACGCAGTTTGCAATGAAAATATTCTTTATGGAACACTTATCCATTGATTTAAATTTGGCCGTGAAAGAATCCCTAGGTTACTAGTATTGAGATTCAACAGTGTACAAGTGAAAGGACTGACTCCCCGGGGGGTCTGAGAAGTGGAGACAAAACGGGGTTATTTGGACATACAAACGTATTGCGTTAGAATTCCATAAAGAATATGTCCATTGCCAGCTACGTCCATACTACCGTATACGCCGTCAAATTGAAGGTCAATCCTTATATTTAAATTTACCTCCAAAAAAATGTTAACTAATGCGAAGAAAAAACTGTTGAAGGCGGGTTTCTCAGATGGTAACTATGGTGGCCGTGGTTGCTAGATTAATATAGTTCCAATGAATCTAAATCAATATATGAGTAAATTCAGAAAATCGACAGCGAATTTCTCGTTCACGGAAATTGCCGAGGGTTCCCGATTGATCTTCGAGGTACAAAGCGAACTGTTATCGCGCTGAACCGTGAACGGCGCCATATTTGAAACAAGCATAATTCCGCCGAGCCTTTTTTCATTGCGTACAGGCTAACGCTGATTTATACGCAGTCACAGTTTACTAAACTAAAGAAGGGAGATATGTAAACACATGTGTGTATCCATAATTATTAGTCTACATATGACGAAATTGATATGTACAGGAGAAGCAAGAGTATATAACATCGTTCGCTGCGGACGGACCATCTGACGGTAGAAGTCTCTATCTATGAGGAAATAGACCAATTCAATCAATTAGGATTAGGTTGGTCAGTTGGTTAGAGCGTCAGTCCAGAGCTTGGAGGTGGGGTTCGAATCTTAGTCTGGTTAAGGATTGTTAACCAATAGTTAGTTGGAGAGCGTGGTACAGAGTCTAAAGTTCAGGGCCCGTATTTATGAAACCATTCTCAAATCTTGTCAAACGATCAAAAAGTCAAATGTAAACATTGAAAACAGTTTTCAGCTTTAAGTCTCTTCAATGTGTCGGCCCAAATCATTGAAAAAACCCCCCATTTTTTATGAATTTATAACGGGAGCAAGAAATTTGGCTTGAGCACAAATTCCTTACTTGAGCACGAGAACGGTTTCATGAATACGGGCCCAGGGCAGATGTATGCCTTCCGAGGCTTAGTTTCAGTGTCGTCGAACAGGACAAGCTATTTTCTTAAGTAAAGAGACCGCAATTAATATACCTGGTAGCACTACGTGTACGTTATATAAAAAAAACTACAATCCATGTGAAGTAATGATGTATTAACATTTAAGGTAAGATCTACATCTGTGGTGGCTCAAACGGACAGGAATGTTTAAACACGTCGGAATATTACGACCCGAGGACCAATCAATGGACGTCAATTACGCCCATGCGCAATAGACGTAGTGGAGTTGGGGTAATAGCATACGGTGACCAAATCTACGCCCTTGGTGGGTTTAACGGAATCGCCCGGATGAACACGGTCGAACGATATAACCCACTCACTGATCGCTGGCAGACGATCCAAGAAATGTTTGACCCGCGGACCAACTTTGGTGTAGAGGTAATCACCACATACATAAAAATCAGAAATGTTTGATAGATTTTGTCCCTACCTTGAGGGTGTGACAGAGAAATCTCCAACCCGAAGGGTGATGTTTTTTGGTTGTCTAACTCGAGGCTGTGCCGAGGGTTAGACAACCAAAAATATCACCCCGAGAAGAATGATTGTTTTTTTCCCATCCTATTATATCAGTCACAGCTCCACCGACAGTAGTCTGCCATGTTTGTAAACAAAAACACATGTGGGGTATGCATATCGTCATTCACTTTTGATGACGTCACACTTACCGATGACGCATTTTAATGACGTCACAATTGAACACGTGCTAATCGGTACAAGGCTATCTCCCACTAGGGAGTGACAAGCTGATATTTCCAGGCTAAAACGAGAGACGCCCCTGTGAAAGGGTGGGAGAAATGGATTTCTCACATACTTCACAGGGTGATCCCGTTGTTGCTAGGAAAAAGATAACAATTGACATCCGGGCTTCATATGCAAATGAGAAAAGTGCAGACATTTTACAACTATACTAGAAGAGCAGCTGTTTTTACGGGTTTTAGGTCATAAGCAAGAAATAGAATCCATCCCTGATGTGAGGTTAGGATAAGGTTATTCAAACCCTCTGGATAAAATATTGAGCAAAAGACCCTCGGCAAAGCCTCGGGTCTCCTACTCAATATGTTATCCCTTGGGTTTGAATAACCTTATCCAGGGATGGATTCTATTAATTTCAATCTGATGGATGGTATTCTTGGTCATCTGTCATATCTAGGGGATGACAGAGAAACCAAAACTCTCGAGGGCGACGGAGTAATCTTGAACAAGTAAAATGGGAAACAATTTTGTAAACGTGGAAGATATATGTGTGCACAGTGAGAAGACACATATTTATGTGTGCCCAGTGAGAGGACACATATTTCTGTGTGCCAAGTGAGAGGACACAGACATATGTGTGCCCAGTGAGGACATAGAAAAATGTGTGCCCAGTGAGAGGACACATATTTCTGTGTGCCCAGTGAGAGGTCCCAGAACTAGGTGTGCCCAGTGAGAGGACATAGAAATATGTGTGCCCAGGGAGAGAACACAGAAATGTGTGTGCCCAGTGAGAGGATACAGAAACATGTGTGCCCAGTGAGAGGACCCAGAAATATGTGTGCCCAGTGAGAGGATACAGAAATATGTGTGCCCAGTGAGAGGACACAGAAAAAAACTTAAACAGTTGCCTCGTTGCAATCATGCAGTTGAATGAAGCAGACTGATGTTGCCCATCTCCCAATCTTCTGTATTTGAGGAGTCATCATAACAACTATTTCCAGTTTTTTGTTTTTTTTGTTTTTGTTAAAGCACTTCCAGAGATAAAGTCTCTATTCTCACGACCGCCATTCTGAACTATGTGATTATGGATTTAAATTGTTGTTGATTTAGATGTACGTATGTTCTCGTGCTTGACGGGAAACACCGTGACGGATGTCACATTATGGTGCCGAAAACGCTTATATTTCGGAATGCTGTAATAACTTCCGGTTCCTGTTACTGTTCGTGATGTCTCCTCTGGTGCTGTATATCTGTACCGACTTTTTACTCCTATTTTGTGTATTTAGAGTGTGATATATGTGGGTTTTTTTATGTATATGTATTAATTTTGAATGTTTAATATTTGACAATTTTTTTAAACTATTCTGCACGATAATTTGTTGGTGTTTGTTTATTTTCAAGCTTTCGCAAAAATTAATTTGTTTATGTCTATTATTTTTGACAGGTGATTGACGATATGATTTTCACCGTCGGAGGATTCAATGCAGTAACATCCATCAGCAATGTGGAGTGCTTCGACAAAAACTCAGACGAGTGGTACGTTGTAATTTATATATACAACAACGTGACAGAAATTTTCACCCAGGTATCATCAAATCGTGGCCAGTTTAAATCGCCTTTCGTCTGTGGTTCGTCGTCTGTCCGTCAAAAGATTTTAACCGCTATTCCTCAAGATGAAATATTCCGTCTTTGCGTATTGCAGAGTTATCTTCTCTTGGGAGCAGGTATTGATTGTTACGTCACTTGTTTGTGAGAGAAACGTCATCAATTTTTGAGAAAACGACGTAATTTTCTCACACAGACCAATGACGTAACAATCAATACCTGTTCCCAAGAGAAGATAACTCTGCAATACGCAAAGACGGAATAGCCGTGTTTCTCGTATTCCATAACAAAGATTCACTTAGGCCCATAGTTGTGAATGTTACAAGTTGACTGCAAGGCGGACCTCTTGAATTTTAACTGTTGAAGGATGTTTTCGTCACTGCTTATAATTGATGTAGAGATTTTTCGCTCAAGTTTTACAGGCAGTTTTCTGTTGGTCCCTAGATAACTACTAGAAATAGGTAGAAAGGTGCACATGATTAAAAATCTTACAAGTAGATGCAAAAATGAAGAAAAAAAATATTAAACATTATACTGTACATATGATTATAGATCAAACGAATGAAACTCAATGTCTAAAATGTCTCGAAACAGACGTAAAGTACCGCTTAAAAGTGCATGACAAGCTCCAAAATCCGGTACAAACATTTCTCCGGGAAACAAGTCTAGATTTGGTGATCTTTGGATTAAGTGAGTTCAGATATGTTTAAAATGCGGAAGGATTTATATTTCAAAATATTTGATTGACAATGCATATATAGATAAATATGTAAGTTGTATAATTAAATCAAATGAGATGTTACAAAATGAGAGATGATATATAGCTGGACATCTATATACAAAACTGCATGTACATGTACATGTACAGACAATCTGCTTAAAATCATCTGTTACATGGCTCCGCTCCGTTCAGGCGTAGTAACGAAGCCATGTAACTAACATATGATTTAATCAGATTGATGTACAGAAGAATTGACAAAGGAACCACACAACAAGCTAAGCCTATATGCACATTTTTTTTAATAAATATCCTAATATATTATGAATAGAGGTAATAGTATGTCTATTATTTGAACACAGAGGACATTTATAGGGGAAATGTGTGATCTTTTCCCTCTTTGTACCACATACACAGGAAGCACCATCGAGGGAAACATTCTTGAACACCATGCCTCGGCTTTTGGATATTTTGGATATCCCTTGGGCTGAGGTTTCTTTGTAATATCTTCAAGGCAGCTAATATTTGATTATCACCTCTCATTCTTAAACATCTTTTTCATAATAGGTTTGATGCAGCAGACATGAATATCGACAGGAGTGGTCTGAGCGCATGCGTCGTCAACGGTCTACCAAATGTTCAGGATTACACATTTAAAGAAACAAAAAACCCGGGGAGCAAGCAGACCGGGAAAAAATAATCCAAGGAGAACACAAAGGACTGGGGGAAATAACAAAAACAAAAACGAACCGAAGTTGTTTTAATATTATTTTACTAAGTATATTGGGTGAATAAAATTATTTGCTAATTTAGAGCAATCTCGGATTTTTTTTTTATGATTGATTAATAGTCTAAAGTGCACGTGATGTAAGATCGACACAGGGTAATTGGACAGACTAGTCAGTCACACATACATTAACGTCGACCTTACCAGTACAATTGGAATGTGTTCCCTTGTGAACAACCATCACCGGTGTGACATTTTTACAGAGTTTAGAAATAAAATAATATAACACTAATACCCCTTACACATCAGGTAGACTAAATGCACACTCTGTACTTGGTTTTTAGATATCCCTTCTGTATTTGAGACATCTATATTTGTGACTATAGGGTCGGGGACATGATAGTCTCGTTCAACCAGACGCTTGATCACTTGTAATAAAGAGTCTGGTCACACACAGTACTTTAAAATGACCATCACCAGAGGGCAGTGTTTTTACTTTCGTTTCCGGACGTTATGTCAACGCCGTTATCCGTTAAACATTTCAATGAATAATGAAATTAATGAAAAAAATACCTATACACGCATTCCTGAAATACCCGTGTATTCACTTTTATCAAGAACAATGTAATCTCCAGATTAATGCCATATATTTCCATTGAATAAATCATAACTAAGCACAAAGCCAACAAGGCTGACTGAAGTTGGAAAAAAGCATGCAAAGCAAGTGAGATTTTACCTGTACACCTTTCAAAACACCTTCAAGTTCTCACTCCGGTAATATGGCTTGACTTGTATCATTGTAAAATATCCAATGAAAAATTTACCAGAATCTCAGTAAGCCTCGTTATGATGTCACAAAACGAACAAACTGGGTTTGATCAGACTCTCTATTCGGCGTAGCTTGCGCAGGCAACAAGAGTCTGGTTGAACGAGACTATAGGGACATGACGTCTAATGACGCCAAATCGACCGTGACGTTGAGCAGTATGTCGGAGTACAGACCAGGGAGAAACAGCGTCCCTTCCCTTCCAACTTCAACTTTCAACTTTATTTCTCTTCACAAAATTATAAATGTACAGAGAAAACATATTTACAACAGTATATAATATCAAATGTGGAGGACAAATCATGACACTTTTTTAAACAAAATTTTGATAAATTTGCATAAATTTCTTAAAATTTTAACATTGTTTGTATTCATTAGTTCTGAGAACTGAACAATATTTGGCATTACATAGTAGAATTTGTATAAATATAACTTCTGCGAGACAGAAAGGAACATTTTAACAAGTAGTGAAGTTCGAGATGTTCTGTTTTGGTAATGAACATTATTCCATCTTACAGTTTCCGCTATACACTTATGATTACTAGTTCTAAATTTACACAATACAATGAGTTCATTTTCAGTCAATAAATATTAATCTTCATTTTATCAAAATACACACGTCGTTTTTTATGTCGTGTAATCGTGAGATTTATCGTGTGAGAATGATATGAATAAGAATTAACAGGTCGTTAATTTATTAAATAAATAATTGCATTGAGTATAGAATAATGTCAATCAACTAAGACCTTGCAAAAGGACTTTCCAATGGACAACAGATGGATGTCATACAATCTCATTAAAATCAGATGCTTATAAAAATACATACGGCTATTAACGTGATAATGAACAGCTGTATTTATTCAGATTGGATGTCATACTACTTGACTTTGCGAAAGCCTTTGACAAGGTACCGCGTCAACGTCTACTTCACAAACACCACTACTATGGAATCCGCGGTTCAACCCTAAGCTGGACTGGAAATTTCCTTAGCAGTAGAAAGCAGCACATATTTGTAGAAGGAGCTAAGTCAACCGAGGGATACGTGGATTCAGGAGTTCCACAGGGAACGGTCATAGGACCCCTACTTTTCCTGACTTTCATCAACGACCTGCCTGAAGTTGTGAGCTCCTCTGTCAAACTGTTTGCGGATGACTGCTTGATATACAGGACCATAGAAACATCTAACGATAGTAAGATCCTACATGAAGACTTGAATGCTTTAGAAAAGTAGGGAAAAGACTGGCAAATGGCATTCCATCCAGAAAAATGTACCGCCATCCACATCACGAAGAAGAGGGAAATAGTTGACACCAAGTACCAACTTCATGGCCACACCCTTGAGACAGTTTCAGGTGGAAAGTACCTTGGAGTATACATAAGCCAAGACCTATCGTGGCGGGATCACATTGATCAGACAACAGCCAAGGCCTCAAGAACAGTAGGATTATTGAGACGTAACCTCAGGAACTGTCCACAAGCAGTAAAATCCCAGGCATACACCACCTTAGTCAGGCCAGTTTTGGAATACGCATCTGTAGTCTGGGCACCATGCCATTACCATCAAATGCAACAAAGCGAAAACGTACAAAGACAGGCAGCACGATTTGCTACAGGGAATTACTACTCCCGAGACCCTGGTTGCGTTACTACCATGCTTCAGCAACTAAACTGGGAACCACTAGAACATAGAAGAGTGAGGAATAGGATCATCATGTTCTACAAAATCATCAACAACCTAGTAAAAGTCCCCGTCCATTATCTCCTACAACAGGCAGCATTGGGACTAGGAGTTCCCAAGCCAACAACATCAGGCAAATAAGCACCAGAGTCGACGCATACAAACATTCATTCGTCCCTGCTACAATCAAGATGTAGAACTCAATACCATCAGATATCAGAGGATTACCAACAGTATAGACAGTTTCCGGCACCACATACAGACCATTGATGTGGCCGGACTCGTCCCCAGGCACTAGACAAGACTCCGGATTTTAACTGTAAATACCAGATTTTAGATATACATACAGACAGATGTAAATAGCATTGTTTTAGCTGTATGGCCAATAAGCGCCGGAGAGCCTGGAGTAGTGACACTCATCTGAGGAGTCAACTCCATAACGGGAAGAAGAAGAAGAACTAGGATTATACTTATTGCACGTCAGTATATATAGTTTAAACCAGGTGCAGGAATAATAGATATGAATCATCCGACTCCAGAACGACGATACAACAATAGGCCTACTGTCCAATCAGACCCTGGCGTGTATCGTCGGTATATAACTTTATCTTGTCGGCATTTAGTACATCGGTTTGGTCAGACTTTCACTTCCGGTAACCGTGATAGTTTGGATCGTGTGTTGGAGTTGGTGTGTTGGGCTCAGGTGTGCTGTCAAAGGAATTAACCAAGTGTTTTATCCGATCTTATTTGTTTAAACTGTTACAAAACGCGCATGTCAGGAAACACCATTCTAGCATACTCCTGTGGTAAGTTATCCATGTAATCCCCCGTAATCAGGTTATGAATTAGGAAAACCTCACTCCTGTTTGAACATCTTTCGACTGGTTAATAATAATAATAATAATATTTATTCAGGTAAAAGGCAAATAATACACTTCTATCACATTTTGCATATTGAACATAAATATATACATATTATCACAGAATGAGATCTTCTTAAATAAGTTATTTATGCCAAAAGATTAGAAGTCAGTCAGGTGTTAAAACTGGATTGGATTAGATTAATTTAGGCCTTTACCTGGGATGACCCATAAAGCCACATTGTGGCTTAATTCCAATGGGGTCCCTTAGATCTAAATAAATCAATTCAATTCATGAAATAGTTACATAATTATATAGTATATATTGATAATTTGATAAGACTCTTAAGACACTTCTTTTATAAAAAATAGATATAAAATGTTACATGTGCCATAGGCTATAATCAATAAAATAATGCTGGTAATGGAATGATATAAAACAAAAAGAGAGTAACAATATATTGGAATTTATGGGTTGTTTTGTCTTGTTCGTTTGCAATTTGATAAAAAAACCACACCACAAGTATACTTAAACGACAGTCACAGTAAAACCATTTCATTCGTTACACATGTGAATATAGTTCTGGACTAACTGTTAGGCCTAACCATACACGATAAGTGGTAGGTTTATCAAATTGTAAACAAACTATACAACATTTTTTTTTTAATGTTTCCATGTGTAAATTAAAACCTACTCTTGGAATGCAAAAGAACCCATTTTCTATAAAGCATTTCTGACTTGCCTGTACTGTACACTGTATAGGTACTGTACACAAATCAGTCCTACTCCAACAATTGTTAGAGGTTTACAAGGCAAGATACTTCTGACAGGCGCCGTGTCGCAGTCGGCAAAATCATATCCGATAGAAAAAAGGCCGACCAGTGGTCTCTTATGTTATAGAAGTAAAATCAGTCGGAGGGGTTTTGTTCCCCTTTTAACCAGGAGGAATGTGTCGGCTCGAAATTCAAGTGTATCCCCTTAAGTTAGTCCGAATTGAGTCCATCCATGTGCGACATGTGTGCGAAAGTGACGATTTGTTTTTAAAATATCAGTTTGAAGAGCGACCCTGGCGCGGGTTGCTTATTTCCCGCATGTTAAAGAGGGCCGGAGTTCTGACATTAATCGAAGCCAGACGGATATAAAAAAAAAGTTGATAAAACTTCAGAATAATTCGGACTACCCCTTAAGTCAGAATACCTGTTTAAAAGGCTACATGAATTTGGCCAAAACTACTAGGCCTATGCTTGTTTTCCTGTTTCTTTAGGATTTTGAGTGCGAGTTGTCAATTAAGCATTAAAAAAAATATTGTTATCCGTATTATACACAAGATAAACCTGATATAAATGCAATGTATTGAATAAATGTATGCAACAAAAAGCAATGTCAAATGTGTTAACACATTATAAACTTATTTGGAATTCCCCACTGCGACTCACTGACTGTATGAATACTGGAGAAAGTGGATTCACATTTTTATTTTTTTTTATTTTCAAATCTTTACATAAGTATACAATACAGTTACAAATTTACAATATATACAGAACACGACATAAAACAAACATATATATAAAGACACACACACTCATTAATTATCATACAAATACCGAAACAATTATCAGAAAGGAAAGGTAGGATTGTTGAAAATTTGTATTATATTTTGAATTTCTCTGTAAGCTAGCTGTCAGTGTGAGCGTAATCAATCTTTACATTAACTCAATATAACAATTATATTTATAAATTGATTAGTTACTTATGGTAAATCAGTCATATTTCTTTCTAGCAAATATTTGTAATTTTCTTGGAATAAAAGGATAGTCTATTTTTGGATGGGTCAAGTTACACCGACTGCAAAGCTCCTTTTATAGCTGTAACAATTCCATGATATTGTAAGAAATTTGCACTAGCACCATATATTTCTCTTAATTCCAAAAAAACTGAAGAAGTTGTTGTTATCCTTTTTTAAGTCATTAACTACTACAACTCCCTTCCTATACCAATCTTTATAAAAAAAACACTTACCGGTATTATCTATTTTCAAATCATCGGGTGTAGAGCCAATGCCATACTTCTGATCTAGGTTCTGTGGGTACCGTTATCCCTTGCTTGGATACCTAGGGGTATGCAGGGCGATTGAGGAACGGGAAACGGGGTTCTGAAGAAGCCCACATGTTTGGGAGAAAACGGTAGACATACAATTAAGAAACCAACCTATCCTTAGCTTGTTGCGATTGAATATTGCCTTGATTATCTATTTTGATTTTTTCGTTAAAAAATATAGACATGTCAAAGATCTGTTTTGAATCTGTATATTTTTCCTCAAGAACAGTAAGATTTTTCCATGCAAGAAAGACATCTTTCCAGAAAACATTTTTACAGTTATTATGAAAAAGGAAATATGGTCTGATCCACAATTTACAAGAAGGTTTTTTATCAATAGTTGATCTGCCATGTTCCTGTTGTTTAGAGTAATCTCTTCTAATCCAAGTTAATTTTAATGAGTCTATAAATGATTTGATATGAATCATTTTAAAACCACCATCAGAAATTGTTTTAATAATTACATCTCTTTTAATTTTATCAATCTTACTATTCCAGAGGAAGTTATATATTTCTGTATTTATCTTTTTCACAAATGTATTATCAGGATTAGGTAAAGCGATAAATCAGTGATTAAATTGAGAAATTAGGATAGACTTTATTATATTTATTCTCCCTATTGGTGTAAGAATTCTCCTACTCCAAGTCTTCATCAAAGCTTTAAGTTTAACTAGTTTTCTATTGAAATTTCTTTTTGGAATACGTTGTAGATCAACATGAAAATCAATGCCCAGAAGTGTAAACCTTGTATGCCCCCACTGTAAATTCCATTCATTAGCCATAACCTCATCACTATATTTTTTACTCCCTACCCAAACTACTTTGGTTTTTCCCAAATTCATTTTTAATCCTGATATTTTTTCAAAGTATTTCAATTCTTTTATAGATTCTCTAAGTGATGTTTCTGATCCGTCCATAATTAAAGATGTGTCGTCTGCATATTGTGAAAGTAAAATAGGTTGTTCAGCTTTAAGTACTTTTTTAAGCCGTTGATATTCTTGTTATTTCTTATTTTGATTGCCAAAATTTCCGAACAGAGGATAAAAATATAAGGTGATATCGGATCACCTTGTCGGCAATATCAAAGAATTTTGACAGATTTTCCTCTGTAAATTGCATTATATCGTAGATTAACCTGGTGTTTTCCCCAATGTATCGCCCAGAAATAAAACCTGTTTGATCTGTATTAATAAGTTTATCTAAGATTGTTTTTATTTTACCTGGTATTGTTCCAGAAGCTATTTTATATACTATATTTAAAAGAGAAATAGGTCTGCAGTGTTTTAGGAATTGATGTGGCTTATCTCCATTTGGCAAACAAATAATTATGCCGTTTTTGAGTTACAGATAATTCACCATTTTCATAACTATTGTTAATAGAACTTACTACAAAAATAATCTAACTGTTTCCAAAAGCACTTAAAAAAATTGACTGTGAATCCATCTGAGCCAGAACTTTTATTATTTTTCATATTATAAATATTTTATACATGTAAATGTTTTAATATTTGGACCATATAATGTAATCAGTGTTATCTTTTTACCTTCTACCTCTAAATCTAATGAAAGAAAATGTCTTGAAAAATCCTTTTTCTCTCTTGTTACTTTCACATCAAAGTTATTATTAAGTAATATGGCTAACCCTCTAGAATTAGACTTGTAAGAATTAAAATTACAGTGAAATCCCCATTCTGACCTTATAAACTTTTCTGGGGGGTTTTCTGAGGAATGTGTATCTTGAATACAGTAGATATTATCATTTTTTGTTCTCGGGTATGAAAATACGTCCTTACGCTTGTTGATATCAACCAAACCTCCACAATTCAACGACAATACTCTAGTACTTTCTACGACCAAGGCTCAAAAAGGAAAAAATATTACCGGTACTCACACTAAGACTCCTACCTTTCAAGATGGCTACACAAATAAGCACCTACAAATATAAAGAACAAAAACAAAACAACATTGGTACAAAAAGTACCTACAAGAGGCAGAGACACAAGAAACACATAAAATGAATTTGATGGGAGAAAAAATAGCAGCGTATTGGAACACACATATTCCTACTCATGGGATAGAACATGTGTGGTGCTCTGACAACAATTGTGTATATTATACTAAGCTCCAGTATTTTTCATTATAAGGATTAAAAAATATTGTACATGTGTGTAATACCTTTTATACAGTTTAACCCTTTCACCCCTATGTAACTTTTGTAAACTCTTCCATGCATTGATCTGGATGAGTTCATTATGGTCTACAGTGTTGAAAGGGTTAATGTATAAAGCCAATTGTTCACCTATAGCAAGCTACTCCAGTATATATCTGGTAAAAGTTAATTGACACATGTATACACTTTTTCATTTCAAGTATTTACAAAGATCAGGCTACATATATCTATACACATGTGTACATACACCTACCCTCTTACATCTATTTACACATACATTTAAATAATTACAACTTACATGCACTCTTATTACATTTTACCTATATACATATAGATCAAACCATATCCATATGCACTTGTGAACCTGCTTTTTACAGATCATACATATATCTACTCTATTAATTCATATGTGAAGAAAAATACACACAAATATCTACTCACTGGCTACACATGATAATGTTTGTATATAGTCCTGGTGATATTGAACTTTTAATCTTAAAATATTTAACATGTATATGTACACATGTGGCATGCATTACATATTACAGTCCCATACCCAATATATCTACAAATGAATAACAAATATGTACATGATATATGACCTTAAATATATATATATATATATCCATACTGTGTTTATATTTTATTCATAAACAGGTTAGTACTAGATACACACGTACACAAATGTATAAATATACATACCTATTAGCTATATATATATATATAGCAATAAACACTAGTATAAGAGATCAACTACACTATGTGTACATATGCATACACACCGGCAGATACATTACAGGTGTACATAGTATGTGTACATCACAACAATCAATACCTGCTTACAAGAGACGATAACTTTGCAATATGCAAAGACGGAATACATAGTTGAAAAGTGGTGGGACTGTCCAGAGGTAATTGGATCTAGTTTTGGTTATCTCCGTTAGCTTGCCATTGAAAATTGACATTGATCTACAGTACTAAACATTAAGAATACATGTTTGAGATGTTGGTGCTATTGATCAGTGATAATGTGAGGTAGTATATCTTCCCACTAGTATTTTTGAGAATTTGAATTGATATCTATAATGATGTAATATTATATTACTAATTACCACTGGTGAGAAAATAGGACCATTTACCGTAATATCATAGGGAGGAATTATAAGATTTCTTCTCTGGGATTAAACAAATAACACAATTTTTATATATTTTTTCTGTCTGGAAAAAAAGACAGGAAACTGAAGTTACCTAGAAGTGAAGAGCAGTTTGTATCTTTATTAACATATCGTATATTCAGTTTTGTATGATATTATTTCAGCAAGAAATCGAATGTTCACCATTTTACTTTTGTTAATTGTTAGGAGTGTTATTACTACACGTCAGTGGTAGATTTATACTGACTACATTTGAACACTTCATAATCCGGACCATAGTTCAGAGGGTCTCGGGTTGGAATCTCAGTCTGAAGGATTGCCTTTTCTGTGCGTCAACTGTGCTTCCATACATTAACGGTTTCCTATAAAACCCTACTCCTACAGAATGGTCGGTCAGATTTCAGCTAAATTGTGTTATTGTTTTATCATATACATGGGGCAGAGGAATGGCTGGCACAGTGGACAGTGTTCTAGCCTGTCACAAACATGGCTGGGATTCAAATGCTTGGTTGGATGCGAACAGATATGGAGTCACCTGCCCAAACACACTGGTTGTCTCCAAGTTGTGTGATCCCCTCCACATTAAAATCCCCCTTGCACTCTTCCATTCAGGCTATTATAAGTCATTAATAATAAAATTGATAAAACCTGTTTCGTAATTATTGTGAAAGAAGTAGAATTGATAATGAAGGGAAATCATTAAAATAGTTCAGGCAGGGCATCTTCTTTTCTGCAGCATCACTGGGCGAAGATAGCTTTACTTCATACAAGAAAATATAGCCTATGGGGCAGATACCAATAGGGACAATAGGTAAATCTTTGAAAGTGTACTCCTTCATCACTTGTGAAGGCATTTATATTAACTCAATGTAATGTTGTGTAAGCAGAGAGTGAGGTCATTCAAAATCCTTTTGTTAAAATAAACAAAAAAAATTAAAGGTGATAAAAACATTTGTTGAAATTGTTGGTAATAATGTGTTCAATCAGCTTAGCAACACATTATGTACCCATATCTTTTCCCTTCTAGCGATTGATATGTGAATAGTGTATGTATCTCCTAGTATATTATTTAGGTCAACAATGCCACATCCAGTCTGGAGGCACTTTGATCTATAAATATATTTCCCAACTCTATATGTCAGATAAAAACCTACAAATGCTTAGCTGAATATTATGTCGGAGCTAGTTTTAAGTGATATCCTGGCTCAAGGAACCAGACATTATTTTGTTTTGGACTAGTCAAATGCCTTGATTTACATTTTCTGCTCCTTTACTTGCAGGTCTGGCATCAGAATAACTGGGAAGGATGTGTGTTGCCATATGAGCCTCTGTATATGATACCATTGTTGCCGAAAATGACGTCATCTTGGTTCCGGTGTAAACATGGCTTTCACCAGTCACAGAAACAATACCAAATGATGAATCCGGCCAAAACAGAAAGAAATACACTTTCAAAAGAGACATTCGAATAGAGAAAATACAAGAAAAGGCACACGGGAAAATTGTTATAAAATCACAAACTATTGAAATGTACACGTTTAACGTTTGCTGAATAAAGACGGTTTGGTAAACAGTTTGTGTAGCAAAAGCATGAAGTCGTCTGCTGGTACCAAACAAAACGCGTCATTCAAGACAAAAACGAAGAAATCTTCCTTCCGAAACACAAGAAAAACCAAATGGACAAGGAGAGCGAAAGAAAGAGTAAAACACAAAGACAAGTATGATACCAGTGTTATGAATCCAGAATGGGATGAAAACCTCCACAAGATCACAAAACTACCCAACGGTAAAGACAACACCAGTTCAAGCTCAGTTGTGTTGAAGAAAGTTGGTAGAAAAGGCAATATTGCTAAACCTATTGTAGAAAATGAAAATATTGGGGAAATTCAAGGATATGAAGACATTAATGACCCAAGCAAGGTTACTGTGTTTGGCTGTAATCTTTGTCAAAAAATGTTTACTTCGAGTTTAGGTTTAAACAGACATAAGCAAGTCCATAGGGCCAAAGACTACGCGTGCAAGATATGTGGTAAAATATTTCGTCGCCAGAGTTCTTTACACAAACACAGCGTCCTCCACTCAGATGATAGTCCATATAAATGTCCAATATGTGGAAAATACTCCAAGTCCAAAGAAAGATCCACTCTGCATTTGAGAACACATTCGGGTGTCAAACCATATCAATGTGATGTATGTGGAAGAAATTTTACACAAATCGGAAATTTAAAATTACATAAAAAGAATATTCATGCACCAGAAAGTGTTTTTAAGTGTGAAATTTGCTGCAAAGAGTTCGAATTCAACAAAGAACTGATTTCTCATGTATTAACGCATACCGACGGTAAAATTCTGAAATGCTACGAATGTGGCAAGATGTTTGGTAAAAAAGAGCACTTTGAGAAACACCAGGAACTTCACACGGAGGTGCGACCGTTTAGCTGTGACATATGTGGGAATACCTACAAGAAAAACGCTGATTTAAAATGTCATCTTGAAACTCATGATACGTCACAGGGTTATGTCTGTGACGTGTGTGGCCGTAGTTTTGGTTACAAGTCGTCCCTTAAATACCATCTGAGGATCCACACCGGAGACAAGCCGTACAGTTGCGACATTTGTGGGAAGGCGTTCCGAACGTCTTCCAATAGGAGCAAACATGTTCTGAGTCATACTAACTACAGACCGTTCAGTTGCGACCAGTGTGCCAAGTCGTTCAGGGACAACCGTTCTCTGGTTATTCACAAACGGACACACTCGGGTAGTAGACCCTATCAATGTTCAATATGTTTCAAATCGTTCATTGTTCAATCTGAATTGAACAGACACAGGAAGAAGCTTCACCTGAACGCCACGGAATGTGATAATGAAAATGGAAGAACAATCTCAACAAACGGTCTGTCGCCATATTCCAAGGGCACGAAGTATGACCAAAGAGAACTCTCAGTGGAAAATACGTTTGATGAAATGGCACGGGACTCTGTGCAAAATGACGTCACAAAAGGTAGGAATCATGAAAATCTTACTCACGTTGAAGCAGCTTCATTAGGAGTAGATCACATGCAACTGTTTCCGAAAGAAAGCACGACAGTTCGTTTGCCTGGAGTACCTATTGTAAACTCAAGCCATGCATCGATAACAACGTCCCTAGAGAGCAACACTGTAGTCGAAATTACAAACTCGTGTCAATACGAGATGGCCGTACACTACTCAAGTAATAATATGTATGGTTATGTTAGAGACATGCTCCTCACAGGAAACGAAATGGGGTCTCGTGGAAGTACCTCGGCACCGTCACCGTATTTACTACCAGCCACAAGTCTTTGTCCGGCGAACACTAGTTCAACCTGGAATAACAACCTAGAATCGAATGATAACAGTGGTGTGAATAGCTCTCAGCCGACGACACTATCTCATACGAATACGACATTCTTCCAACGAGATAGAGACTCTGTGATGGAGCCGATCATGCAACTTCCCAACTCAATGATAAGTGCCCATTACGGTAGAAGTAATATATCAGAGGAGACGATACGGTGTGATACGCTATCACAGTGTGGCATTGTTAACCAGACAACAAAATGTGATACGCTATCACAGTGTGGCATTGTTAACTAGACAACAAAGTGTGATACGCTATCACAGTGGGGCATTGTTAACCAGACAACAAAGTGTGATACGGTATCACAGTGTGGCATTGTTAACCAGACAACAAAATGTGATACGCTATCACAGTGTGGCATTGTTACCCAGACAACAAAGTGTGAAACGCTATCACAGTGTGGCATTGTTAACCAGACAAAAAAGTGTGATACGCTATCACAGTGTGGCATTGTAAACCAGACAACAAAGTGTGATACGCTATCACGGTGTGGCATTGTTAACCAGACAACAAAGTGTGGTACGCTATCACAGTGTGGCATTGTTAACCAGGCAACAAAGTGTGATACGCTATCACAGTGTGGCATTGTTAACCAGACAACAAAGTGTGATACGCTATCACAGTGTGGCAATGTTAACCAGACAGAAGATACCCTGGAACAAACAGAAACACCGTTTACAGCGCCACATAAAGAAATATTCATACTAAGGGCCAATGCTAAGTCAGAATCGATGGAGAATTCATCCAAGCTTGAATCAGAAAGCACAGTCGATGAGTCTGTCAGCGAAATATTAAAGGACAACGATAATGCTGAAGAAGGATCTGACAAGAGTAATTCTGTAATTTCGGATCGGCGTGGGTCGATACAGGAGAGCTCACGATATGAAGGTTATGGTAGGAACACACACGACAGTTCGCCAGGCTCTTGTGCTACCGAGTGTTTATCAGAATCAGAACTAGAGGTATTGTCAGGAGTACCTGGAATGAACAACGCGAACGAGTCTAGTTTTGATAGAGAGGAGGCAACAAATGACGGAGAAAAGTCAACAAGTGACATAAGTTTATCGGGTGTAGAACATGTTACCACACACAACGAGTACAGTACGAGTGGAGATAGTGACAGAGTTATTGGAGATGTTGAAATTGAAAGGGACATTGGTGCAAACTTCAAGGGAAATGGAAAGGGCAAAGTACATGATCCGCAGGGAAAAGTGTCTGTTCAATTGTGTGAGGGTAATACAGAAAGTCTACAAACACCGACTGAAGCTGTACACAATGATAAGGACACTTGTCAGGAAAGTGGGTCTGTTGTCAACATCATGGAACGTTCAAAGAAATGTCCCAGAAACACATGCCTTAAATCAGTAAGAAAACGGAAACAAAAAACAGGATCTAATTCGAAAATGCCTGCATGCTATCATTATGATAAATCACATAGTGAGTCTATTTCGCCCAATAGTCATAAAAAGATCTACAAAAATATGTCGGATGTGCATGATTCAGAAATCCCGTGGAACACTGACGAGACCACAGCAGTGAGAAACCGTGGCTTTGTGCTTCAAACAAAACATAATGAACTGAAAACAGACAAAATCACGGAATTTGTATGTATAATGTGTAACAAACAGGAACACAGTCAACATAAACTACAGCAACATATGATGACGAAGCACTCATCTGACGTAAGTAACACGGAGTTCCGTTGCCAGACATGTAGCAAAATATACCCAAGTAAACTCAGTCTGCAAGGACATGTTCGGATACATAACTCGAAGGAGCATGCGTGTCCAGTATGTCACAGGACGTTCCACCGACCGGCTTATCTGAAGCGCCACATGCTCATCCACACGGACGAAAATCCTTACAGGTGTCCGTATTGTAGCAAAGATTTTGTTTGTCAAAACTTCCTCAAACCACACCTTAGAACCCACACGGGGACTAAACCTTACCAGTGTGATGTTTGCGGAATGCGGTTCACACAGCAGACACAACTTATGAGCCATAAAAGGCAGCACGCTCCAGAAAAGGCGTTTAGGTGTGACGAATGTGGTGTCGAGTTCGTCGACAACCAGGATCTGCTGGTACATATCGCTGCGCATGGGCGAGAGGCAAACAAGTGCAAAGACTGCGGGAAAGTGTTCGGAAGGTTGAAACATCTGCAAAAACACATGGAGATTCATAACCGTGACCGAAGACGACATCAATGTAAATATTGTGATGACACATTTCTAAATAAAAACGACTGTAGAATCCACGAGTCAATCCATACAGACGACATGGCCTTCTCGTGCGAGTACTGTGGTAGACAGTTCCGACACAAGTCTGGTCTAAACTACCACATTCGTACTCATACCGGCGAGAAACCTTACCCTTGTAAGATTTGTGGCAAGTCATTCCGGACGAACTCCTATCTGCATAAACACACAATGTTCCACACTGGGTTCAGACCTTACAAGTGTGACCAGTGTGGGAAAGGATTTACGTGTAAAAACGATCTGGTTATACACACGAGAACTCATACGGGTGAAAGACCCTTCACGTGCTCGATATGTGAGAAAACGTTCAGAGAAATGACAACAATGAAAAAGCACGTGCTTAGTATACATACATGTTCTACCTGTGGAAAGACATTTCGGGAGAGGTCTGATCTAGGTATGCATGTTATGTCGCATCAGAGCACGACTACGTGTAGTCAACAGGTATAGAATGGGTGTTGGCTTAATGTTTAGTGATTGTTTGAAATGAACAGGATATGTCTCGTATACTATCATATTGATCTTCTGTAGCCTACGAAGGGATGGTCTAGTGATCATGATGTAAGTGCTGTTTATTTTCATGTACATCATTGCCAGTATGACTTGCGCGGAATCTGTCCAACGCCCACGAAAATAGTTACATTATCTTCTTTCAACCCATTTGAATTTAATCAGACTTATATTCAACTCTGCTTTACTCATGGCGCTATAGTTCTGTTATTGGTGTATGGGAGAAAATAGTAATAGAAACATTTTAAATGGTGTTAGGCAGATTAAACTAGTTTTATTACAATCACGCCTGTGCTAACAAAGAAACGGATATTAAAGTCGACAATTGTAATAACTTCACAGCGGCTTTTTTGTGTTGAATGTCAAAGAGATATTCCGTCTTTGCGTATTGCAGAGTTATCTTCTCTTGTGAGCAGGTATCGATTGTTACGTCACTTGTTTGTGAGAGTAACGTCATCAATTTTTGGGAAAACAACGTAATTTTCTCACAAAGATCAACGACGTAACAATCAATACCTGCTCCCAAGAGAAGATAACTCTGCAATACGCAAAGACGGAATAGCTGTGTTCATCTCTTTGTTATTTAAATCATTCAAAAGGGTGATGATGAGAAAGTGATCATTGAGAAAATACTTTCGAGATAATTTTGATGTGAGGAAAAATCGGCGACAAATTCTGTTTGTCCCGAGCTGTAAGACCAGAGCAATACACCTCCCCCCAGATAGAAGCACATGTAGAATGCCTGTTTGAAATGAAAAATAAATTTGTGATAATGAACAACATAGTTTATAGATTCTATGAAGTCGGTATCCGGTCACCGTTATATTATCAGCATGTAGTATGTTGAGCATACCTAACAAACGTACGCACCTTATTAAGAGTATTTCTTAGCAACTAAATTTGCTGAAAGAACTCTCGATCGATCCTTCACCCGTAAAATATCGTGAAGCTACTATCTTAAATAAAATTATTTAAAAGTATATCTACTGTTATACGGTTAGAGTGTACCTCGATCTAGTCCGATGTTTGTGTTTATGGAGGTTTGGTTATAATTAAGGTACTGAGCGGACACAGATTAAAGTGAATTATCGAATTTTAACAGATTAGCGCATTGAGACACACTCACAATATATGCAATAAAAATCTTATATACAGAAACTAAACAAATATGTAAGAATAACGCTTTAATAGGTAGTTTACAGTAGTCGATCCAGGTGCCTTTAACATCACAATTTACCACATACACGCTGGAAGTACTGTTAACGAGTTTACGACAACAACATCTATTATAATGTTCAGTCGTACATTATACTGTAGCGTTTGTTGTTGGGGATAAAAGGTACCACAACACCGTTTATAATCTCGAAGAAGAGGTCTAATCCAGACTCTGAGTAATCAACAGAAGGAGTGCTTTCTGGCTTAGAAATGTGTTCATCTCTTATTCATGTCTGTCATCTTCTTGTATATTGTGCATGCTAAGTGTACGATCAGCATTGAATAGGTCGAGTTAGACCCCTGCATTTATTTCTTTTATTGTCATTTTGTGTTTTAACTAAGTGGTATTTATTTTATTGTATACACATTAACCATAACATTACTCTGTCCGTAACGGGCTTAGAACGAAAGCTCAGAGAGTCGTCACTTTTGAGGTATCTGTGTGGCGCTAGCATCTCTATCCCCACGTGTTTGTACATCACATCCGGATTTAATTCACAGTCTTCACCCTGTTGAATATTTTGGCTATGTATCCACTTTGGATATCTGTGATATTAGATGATTATTTGTCAGTACATCATATCCAGGGTTCTCTTTACTGTTCCAACTGGCGATTGCTAAAAGAACAAGAAACAGAATTCAGGAACAGGTTAAAATGGTCAAACTTAAGCTGATATGTTACATATCCTCGACACTGGCACCTCGGTTATGATGCGCAACTGCAAAACAAATTTTATTTGCGGGAACAACTTTTATATTTCATATCAGACGTGGACTGTATAGCATTTTGATACTTAGCAGCGACGCAATGCAATAAAATACAAAGTAATGTAAAACATTATATTTCCTTGAGAAATGAATTTCGCATTGATTAACGAGGAGAATCATAATTTACGATTTCCCTTTTTCTGCTCATTTTAATTCCGTGGTTATGCACGGAATTAACATTAGAAAAGAAAGTAATATCGGGTCCTCTAAACATTTATTATTTTTGAAATAGCATCCTCTCGTTCGCGAATAAAACCATCAGGCATAGTTCGCAAAAATATAGTGAGGAACAGTTCAATCTATACTGTAAATGTAGGGAATATTAAAAGAGCTTTTATGTTCTATTCGACTTTCCATTGAAAAGTAAAATATTCATTTATTCAATTGGTTGAACAGCTCATTCGGATTTTTGGATTTTTTCACTATTATACTGTTGCCAATCAGAACGTTTATGGGTAAAACACATTACAATGACATCTGTCTCAGTTAATGATAAAACTCTTACATGTTCAATTTGATTTCCCAAGACACTGTAAATCCAATTTTCTTTATTTACGATTGAGAGGGTAGCGTTTCTTGATTGAAAGCACTTTTTCATTTAATTATTATAGGGGGAATGAAATCCGAGAATAAGTCTCCTCGCTAATGAACGGGAAAACACCTCTGGGTAAAAGTGAAGTAATTTACAATATTTACAACTATTAAAATATCGACCAAAGTGTTTTATAAAAAAAATCTTGGGACAAATTAGAAGGAGATAATTAACATACGTGTTCTTTTGACGTCTCAGATTGCACGCGTTTATTGCGCACAAGGACATATTTCACGAGGGCTGTGAAATTCTGGTTAGTATTCATTTAGTAATCCAAAAACATATATTTAAACAAAATACAAAACAAATTAAACAATTAAGATAAGAAGAAACAAGCAAAAACATAAACAAACCAAAAACAAAATACAACTCGGAAAAAGAGAAAATGGAATCACGGAGTACTTTTGTATCGGGTGAATCTATGTGATCCGAAATCCTGTTTCTCCAAAAAGTTTTTTTACTGTGTATCTACGGTGAACATGTCCTATCATAATATGTAGCCGTCTTAGCAGGCAAAGGATAGCAAATCTCGAAATGATTATATAAAGAAGCGAAGCATTATTAACACAAGCCACTTCCATGTTTTTAATCAATACATTTTCCCTAGAATATATAGTCAATAACCACTATATATGGTACGAAGTAAATATGTTGCGTAAAGTATATGAGTAGATCTAGAGAGCATTGTTACAAATACATTTAAAAGTTACAAAGACCTCTCGTGCAAATACCAACTACATATAATACCAACGTGTATCACATCTGGTCGAATAATAAAGAGAACGTGTGTGACGCGAGGTAGTGTATCATAGCACTAAGTTTAGTGATAATAAAACGAGTACTAAATCAGGTGTTGTTAATCCAATAAAACGTATCGTCTGCTGACAGTACATACATGGCTTTGCACTGTTTGATATGTTTGATTTTAAGGGAACCGTGCAAAAATGAGTTTTGATATAAGTATAATAAAACTACTGATTGTTGCTATCAAGTGTGAGTACTACGGAGGATATGGTAAGGATACTATAGTATAGGTTGATTGTTAATAGGGCGGATATCGGCAATGGTTGTGGTGGCGGTATTTTGGTATCGTACGAGGATATGGTTGTGGTGGCGGTATGTTGGGATCGTACGAGGATATGGTTGTGGTGGCGGTATGTTGGTATCGTACGAGGATATGGTTGTGGTGGCGGTATTTTGGTATTGTACAAGGAAATCTGGCTGAGGTTCTGATCCATTGAAAAAGCAAATCCAGTTAAATAAATTTGACACCGAATTTGGGTTTGAAATAGCATTAAGATAATAGTAAATATTACAATATGTTGATATTTAGATTGAAGACGATAGAAAGTACGAGCTAAATTAATCCTTGTATGATACCAGCTCCAAAAATCAAAACATAATGTTATAAAACGTTATAATACCTGTCATTGAATCATGCATGGATGAACCGAACAACGTATTTAGGATAATTGGTATTATATAGTATTGATAATGACTGTTGTCAGCATCCAAGTCATTTGGGGATGAGTTCATTATTTGTTAAGTTTGATTATATTCGGTATAAATTAGTATGCATACTGAAAATCACATTATTATCGCGAGAGCTATTTATCGTGTTTAATCATGAGGAGGCTCATTCACGAATCAAAACCTTCCACAATTCACGAATCAAAACCTTCCACAATTCACGAATCAAAACCTTCCACAAATGTCATATAGCTTTACTATAAATGTCGAAATGCCATCTTCTCGAACGCGATTTGAGGTCAAGAAAAATGTACAATAATTAAAAAAGAACTTTGTAAATATTCCTCGGGAAATACGACAGATCAGATTGAGCGGGGCTTTAAGTATAATCTTCGAACTAGAAATTAGTAGCCATTATAAACCAAAGTCATGATTGTATTTCTCCGAAAATCTTATGTCAAGCGTGACGTCGTATTGCAATTATAATGTCGAAAATAATGTGACAGCACGCCGATAAATGACAGACTGGATTATTAGTGATAAAAATATACAGCGTATGTAACAAGAAAGGAATAAACAATACTTGTATTATACAATGTAAGTATTATACAATGTAAGTATTATACAATGTAAGTATTATACAATGTAAGTATTATACAATGTAAGTATTATACAAAGTAATGAAAACCAATCTGTGTCTTAAAGCATAACATTTGAGTAGCTATATCGCCACTTAAATAATCAATGACTACTAAAATGGAGTTATTTAAGTGCTCAGATATGTAGATAATTCTTCACCATTGCCATACCTAAAATGCTTATGAACGCCTTATGTAAAAGTCGAAAGTATAATACCTTAGCAACACGGATTGGTTGTTCGTTTACATTGTCTATTGGATATATACCTCTGAAGCGTGTGCGTAACTGTAGGCTTCTATATTAGCCACTACCTCTGGGGGTAATCTCCTACTGGAGTCGGCCGCTACTGTAGAGGCGTCCGATGGGGCCGATTCTGCTGTCACAGCTGCAGCGGCAACCACAGGCGCTACCTCCACGGGAGCAGCAGCAACTTCTGCTTCCGGTACCGCACTTCCGGTTGTTGGAGCCTCACTTACTGGAAGAGTATCAGCTATTTCCGTGTTCGTTGTCTCTGGTTGATCCGGTTGACTCGCCTGAGTGCCGCCTACAACTGCACCGGCTACCGCCGCTTCAACTGGCGTCAAGCTAGCATCGGCGTTTCCCTCTGATCCGTGCGTGGTGAGAGACGACCATCTTCCTGATTCTTCTGGTGCTGTATCCTGTTTAGCAGGCTGGTGTTGTGGTACATCTTCGGCTTCCTGAACTGGGGCGGTATGACCGCCTGTGGTCACTACTGCCACTACTGGAACAACAATGTCTTGTTCTTCATTCATATGCGGTTGTTCGGGAGGTTCCTCTTGCGGAGGATGTTCTGGATCCTCATCTGTTTGATCCTCTATCGGTAGAGGTGTAACAACCTGATCTGTTATCACCAGTGGGGCTGCATAAAAATCCTCTTCCGCCTCCTCAACAAAGGGTGTGTTTTCTATAGTAGGATCCCTATAAAGCCCTGTTTCCGCTATTTCAGGCTCTTCTTCTTCAATAGCGTCCGGTTCATTTCCCACGACTGGTTCTTCTTCGTAAACAATTGGTTTCACTTTCGATAGACTGGTTTGCGTTGGTTCTTTTGTGAAATCATTGCCATTTTCATCGACGTTGTGTTTTTCGGTTCGTCCCCATCTGAGAGGGTAGTGATTGTGCGGTGTGAGAACATATTCAACATTGCCATTATATTGCGTCCATTTTGTATCCATGTATTGTCCAGTACTAGCATTGTACTCGCTATATGTTGGCTGATACTCGCCTTTCTGGTACTCCTTATATTTGTGTTCCTTCACTCGAATATCCGGCCCCATGGGATGTGCGTAGCATAAGTATAAATTGCCATGTCTCTTTCGGAAGCTTGTCCGAACCACTTTAGGGGGCTGAGGAGAATTAACGAGTATGGATGGTTTCTTTTGTATGTTCAACTTGTACTCATAATACTTGGGTCTGTACGATGACGTATACTCCCTGTAGCTGTGTTCGTGTATACGAGTATACTCATGTACCTTTTTGTACTCGTGTACCCGGTCATACGGCCGTACTGTGCTGCCGTACGTGTGTGGTTTGTACTCGTGTACCTTGTTATGGTAAGGTTTCCATGGAATGTCAGGTCCCAGGCGGTAACCCTCGTACCGGGACGGCCCTCCCGTCTCCCTCGTCATCCGGGAATACTGTGGTGTCGCTGACAAAAATGGTACAAAATGAAATTTATTGCTTTACACTTAATTGTATCAGAAGTGACGTCCAGCTCGGCATACAATACATTTTCTTATAGTTTAGTGTGGCACAATCGGCCGACTACCATTTACTGCTTTATTATAAACATTAACAAAGACATACATTTAAAACATCTATAACAGTCATCGACTTGGCAAATGTAATATTAAATAATTCTTAATCAAATTTAATACAGAGTGAACGGTGTAACCAAGTTTAAAAAGAGAACACTCTTTCACCAGTTTTCGTTCCATTTCAAATCAATTTTATTACAGCAAATGCACAAAAGGATCGGTTACATGTAGTGTCTTTAACGCCATTTCTGGTAGTTATTTCACCAGTCTGAATATTATATTAAATTCTAGATTTCAATAGAAATGGAGTTTTCACTTACCTTTTCCAAGTTTTTAGGATGCCATGCTCTCCATGGTGTTGCGAATTTCAAAATCCGATACAAATATATATCTGAACTGTTATAGCATTCCAACGTTAAGTTGTTGTTTTTTGTTGTTTTTTTGTTGTTTTTTGTTGTTGTTTTTGTCAACGTTTCGACGTTGGTCACAATTCCGTGAAGATTATTCACACTGCTCCGTGAAAGAACGTTTTGACAGTGACAAAGATGTACATGTAACACCCTCCCAACATCTACCGTGATGACGCGAGAACTTCATAATTTAAAACAGATTACGGGTAGGATTCGTCAATAATTTGTTTACGTCAGTATTCAATGTAAAAAATCAGGCGTATCCTGGTATAACATGATATCGTACGATAAACGTCTCCAGTTCACTGACTCTTACGTGTATTCCATCTTACCGACCTACTACAGGAGCGAGGCTACCGCCTCATTTTACCTGTGTTTGCGCGTAAAATGACTAAAAATACACCTGTATAATGGTAAATATAATTTCATGACGTTCCGTGGTATATTTGCCCACGATTCTGTTATTGTCAGTATAAGGGTATTATCAAAAGGCTGTCAAGCCCGTGTCGAGAGGCGTACACCAAGACCTAGTTCTGAAAGTAACACATAATTACTGATATATAGATGGGTTTTAGTCATCTTATGTTTGTCACATCAATCACGGGAATTTAAATCAATCGTTAAACTACAGTTCACAGTGTCGAGTAATGAGCATTACAGAGCAACTAAAAGCATTCATAGATTTGTTTAAGTACAGTAGGTATCTGTAAATCACATTATATTCGCGTGAACTTTTATTTCACGAACTTTAGATTTCATTAGCGACTTCAAGTATTGTGAGGATCTTTTTTTAATATTGATAGTAAGTTATTTAAGGAAGATTTAAATACGCCAATGATTTTCCTGACGGGAAATTAATCTTTCTCGTAATGCTTAACAGTGGTTGATTACAATAGGTTGTTTCTTGTGACTACTCGACGATTTAAATTTGGAAATGAAACAACGGTCGATATATGTTACTGGTTTAGCACCTTTCATTAGAAAAGTTAAATTCATTACCTTTCGAATTAACCAAAGATTAAAGATCTCGCGAAATCAAAGAGATTTGCAGTATTTTTTTTAAGTATTTCAGTCTCCGGGGCTTATTTAATACAATCGTCTTTCAGCTAGCGTATTTCAGAGTTTGTTCTGATGGTAATACGTCTCCGAGGCCTCACTCCTCGGAAAAATGGTAATGTGCCTCGACACAATGGCGCCCGACCAATGAGATTCTTCTCACCTTTAACATAGATGATTGGTGTTGGATATTTCGGTTATCACAGTGTTTAAAACTACTGCTTAGTTCAGAGTGTCAATGTGCTTATCAAAATGTAAGTGGATTTCATATAATCCAACATTAACAGTGTTTTCTATCAAACTTTACATTTAATCTCCTAATCTCGTCATAAAATACATAGAATTATATCAAATTATTTTCATCTGGGCCTAAATTGGGTTTTAATGACAAATAATTCTGTTTTCTATTGCAAAACATCTGTGTGATTCCAATGAACCATGACGCATTATTTGTGTACGTTAATTAAGAACGTTTGCTTGTGAGCTGACAGCAATGACGATATATAGGACAGGATTTGTTGATCCCTGGAGGCTATGATTAGGGCGTTCAAGTCGGAGGTTGACGGCGTGCTGATGGGCCTACGGCTCTTTTCAGGCTAGAATACACGATTTAAATCCTAACTTGAATGTCCATAATTTAACGGATATAAAGAATCTCATCAAAAACTGTTTGACGTACAGTAAAGTGTGACCTACCATTGGAGTTTGATCCTGATTGATAAAGGGGAACTGTATCACACACGTACGATGTTTCACACCGCCTCTATTTGTTTTGCTGTTACTATGACTACGACAAATCGTGCCCTGTCATTTGTCTGTTCACATTATACATGAAAAACATATTTATAAATATAAGATACAATATATTTTTTATAAGAGATGACTATTACTTCCAAATTGTCATTCAAATGGCAAGGACTAAGAATATAGAAATCTTCCTATGTGCGACAGAGGCACGCTATGCATGTCATACAACGAGACCCCTGTCGTTAAGTCCACGAGTTAAAATCAGACCTAATTCATACCAACAAGTGACACAGAGGCCCGATTATTAATTATCTTCGATATATTTAATTTAAATGTATAAATTCACAAACAAGACGATCTGTACTAACGTATGTGTGTGTATTATGATGAACATATAACGAGAATGAGAAAATATGGGGCGGGGGAATGTTCCAACTTTTTCGAATCCCGACTTATATTTTTCATCACAATATACAAATACATGTTGATTATATCTATTCTACCAAGTAAAATGTAACAAAATACTTTTTGTGTCACCTAAGTGTCCATACGCCTTTAAAAAGCAATTTGACCTAGATAATTTAATCATTTAAATTAGGCTGTTCATTTGTCACGTGATGCCTATACGTCATTTCACAACAAGCAGCACGAAAGTGTTTTTTTCCCATTTCTGACCTTGTGGGCAGTTGTCCTATTGTGTCAATCAAACCTGGGTAAATTTGGGAAGGATTGTTCATTTTCAGTCGCCATCTGGTCTACAAACGATAAACATTAAACACAGACGTCATTTGTTTAATACATGAAATTAGCACTTGAACATTTTACAAACTCTTTTTCAAATACCTTCGCGGTGTGTTCGACTGAACATTCTGACCATGAGCTTGACAGGTTTTAAGATTTAGATGTTTAATAGAAACTTTTCTGTTTGTCCACTTCATGTTTTCAAATACATACAAATTTTATATACATATAGTCTCATCCAGTCCATGTACCATCCAAGCTGACTTCCCAACGGTTTAGCCAGGTCTGGATAAATCGGGACATCAAGAAACTCTCCAGGAGAAATAAGGTAAGCTATAGGAAGGCTAAGAACACAGGAAAGAAACGGGACTAGGACAAGTTTCACTAACTGAAGAAGGACCTCAGACTGCATACAGATGCCTACAATAGATACATTTCAAACGTGAAAATGATGAAGACCATACTGCCAACCCGAAGAAATTCTGGGGATTACTGGGGTCTCACCATTTAGGCAGGAGGGAATACTATATAGCGCTAGTACCAGCAAGGCTAACATCCTCAACCGACACTTTACATCAGTCTTCACAAAGGAGGATTTGAGTTCTATACCCAATAAAGGTTTAGCACCTACCCAGATCTGCCAGATATTGTCATTTATCCTCCTGGAGTAGTGATGAAGTTACAGAAGAATACCAATAACCACAAAGCCACTGGCCCTGATGCTATCACAGGGCAGCTCCTGAAAGAACTATCAGAGGAGGTAACACCGGTCCAAACATTGATACTCAAGGCATCATTAAACCAGGGACGGATACCAGACATGTGGAACGAAGCTGTTGCCACGCCTCTCTTCAAGAAGGGACATCGAGGGAAGACCTCCAGCTATCGTCCAGTATCCCATACCTCCATCACATGCAAGATCATGGAGCAAAGCCTTTGATAAGGTCCCTCATCAGAGGCTCTTGAGCAAGTGCGAGTACTACGGGATAATAGGTAATACACTGCAGTGGAATTGCAAAATTGGGATTCTTGCCCCAACGCCAGGGGCCAGAACGGGGCCTCAAAGGGAAAATAAACCAATATTTCAAAAATCTTCGTCTCCAGAATCAGAGTTACTACAGTCAATTTCTCTGCATGGATGGAAAGATCATCGGGGCTTTATCTAAATTGTTAAATTTCAAATGTCTTCTTCAGAGTAAGAGGTACTACACTCAAATTATGTATATGTATGAAAATTCCATCAGGAGCTTTATCTTTTTTTTTCAATTCATTACCCCCCTGCCATCCATTCTTGCTTGTGGAGGGGGTAGAGTTGACTTTAGTTTATACAGGGAAATAACACTTTTGGGTATATTTTGTCCATTTTTAACAGGGAATTATTCAAACTTGTTTGGGATGATTATGATGCCAGATGACAATTAAATGGTATGAGGAAATAATATCCTGCTCCATTCCCAGGGTCTGGAGGGATGGAAAAAGATTAAAAGTTAAAAACACTTCTTCATCAGACTCAGATGTTTTACAAACAAATACTCTTCATGGATAGAAAGGTCCTAAATAGGTGCATTATCTAAACTGTTAATTTCATTGTATCCCAGGTCATCTGCTGTCCTTGGGGAGAGGGTAACGTTTACTATAGTGTATATAGGGAAATAACACTTCTGACTATAACTCAAAACTTGGTTGGAATAATTACAATGAAATTGAAATCAAATATTATCCTGACCTATCCCAGGGGTTGGCCAAAGAGGAAAATTGGCTCAATAACAACCGCTAAGGCCCCGTGAGCCACTTGTTCCTGTAGTTATCATTTCTGGTCCTGTGGACAGTTGTTTATTTGGGAAGGATTTTTCATTTTCAGTTGCCATTTGGTCGATAGAGTAAAAGAAGTAAACACTGACGTCATACTTTTCTATCAACATCGCTCGATCATCATTTGACAGATATACAAACACTATTTCATGTCGCTTTGGAGAACATTTTGACCGCGAGCTCGATTGGTTTTGAATATATCCAGAAGTTAAATTGAAACATTACTGTTTGTTCGCTAGCTAATCTTCAAATACATACAAGATTAAATGTGTGTATCCTCATTTAACAAAGGAAACCAGCCCCACCGCTCGCTTGTTAATATATAGCATCAATTGATTTGTTGGAAAACAATACATGCACGCACATGGTCCATCATCCAATAACACACGGTTACTAACCAATGAAAACTGTCGTTACATCACAAACGTGGTAGAATCCTTTTTACCTATCAACTTGGCCGTCTGTCTGCCCCATTTACGTCTGTGTTCATCACCGTAATTTGTACAAAACCAAACATTTCCTCAACCATCGTATACCAACATGTTAATTTTTTTTAAAATAAATGTCTTCTTTTCATCTATTATATTAAAGCCTGTTGTCATCGTGGATGTCGGACACAATTTCAGTTCAAATTTTCATGAATACTTTTTAAGTGTGGTCGGGTGGCACAGTGGATAGAGCACTTGCCGTTCACCGAGGTGGCTGGGGTTCGAATCCCCAACCGGACGTAAAAAGGTATGGTCACCTGCCCGACCACATGGGTTTTCTCGGGGTATTCCGATTTCCTCCCACAGTAAGACCCCCGCGCACTAACATCTGGCCCAACAAGAGTGATTAGTAAGTTGTACAAACCTGGTTCATACTTATATTTTACATACCTTTTTTAACAATTTGATCTTTTCCCCCTCCCTTTTGGATCATGCTTTCCATTGAAGCAATAATAAACAATAAAAAACACAAAATGGAACAATTATTGTTTTGCTATTTATTATCGCTCATAACAGTCAAACTTCATCATTTAGACACAACATTTCTCTAACAACATTCTCATCAGTCGATAACATCACCATACAGGTAAGTCACTAGTAAGGGTTTCCTCACCCTTTTATAGTGATATCAACAACATTGTAAGATTGGAAAAAAGAGAGCATATTTTTTGTATCAATTTTGTTCATAATTACAACACTAGCCTAAGCTAACCCTTTCAACACCATAGACCATACTGGGCTCGTCCAGATCAATTTATGGTAGAGGTTATTAAAGTTACATAGGGGTGAAAGGGTTAACAGGGTAACCACACACAATGCTTGTTTGAGCATGTTTTCTGACTTATTGTTTCTGTCAATCATATGTCATGTTGATCTTACAATAAGCAACTTGAGTGATAACAGTGCCTTGCTAACAATTTTCGACTTCTTGGCACTTATTTAATTATCATAACTCAATGCCAGTAATCCTAACTACAAAACCTAAGGCGAGATTTTTATTTAAGGTAGCACTTGTTATTGGGACTACAATACATGTGTTACATATAAATGGTAACAGCATCAAGCTCACGTATGACAGTCTTCATGTAGTACTACACACATATACTCACCCATCTGTACTGTAATACTCACAATCAACAGGAACACATTAAACACTCTCTAACATCTAGCCAACACATGTGTACATCATGGCCCCTTACTCTCTAACATCTAGCCAACACAAGTGTACATCATGTCCTGTTACTCTCTAACACCTAGCCAACACAATTGTTCATCCTCCTAGACAAAAACTTCTACATTCTACACACTTAACATTATTTTGTACAAAATTACATATTGCCATCATGTTTTTCAATGAAAAAGCTTTCTATATCAATCACAACATACTGGATAATTTTTTTTTAATCAAATGCAGCAACATATTCATAAAAACAAATGTTTTAATTTTCATACATAAATATTACCATGTGAATGTTCACTTAGACGATTCTAAACATGGATTTCAAATGCCTGTCTCACAACAAACATCGCAAGGCTCGAGTTTTCCTCAAATTTCCCAACGAGTTAACAATAAGGTTTTCATCAACTAAAGGATATGTTTTATAGAAGTGAGAAATGCTGACATGTGAATCACCGGTTCCAACAACTGTTAAAGGTGACAGTTCATAAAATACATTATTAAAGAAAAATACCTCTCTACTTGTTTAATGTTATAACCAATCAGTCATAGTCAAAGGCAAAACTGTTTAGGCAATGAAATAACGAGTGTCTGTTTTAATACCAGATGAGTATTGGGAGAGCAGCGATACCTACTTCTCATTATATCTAAACGTTCAAGGGTCAAACATATAGGTTGACAGGAACACACAACTGTATTGTTGGCCTGACTAAACATAGATGCCTGGGCAACTGTAAGCTTGTAAACACTAGGCCTCCTAAATGAAGGCAGCTATTCTGCTTTTTTGATAAGGTGATTCATTGCATAGCTGCTCATTATAATATTTTGTATTTTAGTGATTTGTTTAATACCGTAAAGTGACTAGTATTGAGATCATAAGGAAGGGTTAGTTTGGTGGAGGTGGAGTGGTCATTGGGATTGGTCAGTCAAATTGTATACATATAAAAAATGTTAAATACCATCAACTATAAAATCAAACCTGATGGTTCTTAATACAAAGTGAGTATATAATGACCTTACCAACAATGTCAATGATACTACAGAAACGACATAGTCACAACATAGTCACATGATGTTACCATAGTCACAACATAGTCACATGATGTTACCATAGTCACAACATAGTCACATGATCGATGTTACCATAGAAACATAGTCACATGATCGATGTTACCATAGAAACATAGCCACATAATCAATGTTACCATAGAAAGATAGTCACATGATCAATGTTACCATACTTACAACATAGTCACATGATCAATGTTACCATACTTACAACATAGTCACATGATTGATGTTACCATAGAAAAAACATAGTCATATGATCGATGTTACCATAGTTACAACAAAGTCACATGATCGATGTTGCCATAGTTACAACATAGTCACATGATCAATGTTATCATACTTACAATATAGTCACATGATCAATGTTACCATACTTACAACATAGTCACATGATCAATGTTACCACACTTACAACATAGTCACATGATCAATGTTACCATACTTACAACATAGTCACATGATCAATGTTACCATACTAACAACATAGTCACATGATCAATGTTAGCATACTTATAACATAGTTAGTCACATGATCAATGTTACCATAGAAAAAACATAGTCACATGATCGATGTTACCATAGTTACAACATAGTCACATGATCGATGTTACCATAAGAAGAGACATTTTATGTGTTACCATGTTGTCTGTTGGTAACATTAGTCTCACTGGCTTTATTCGGAGGTCATAATCACAAAAACTGATGATGAGGGCTAAGTCTGATGGGCAAGGGAACTTTTCAGATAACTATTACTTATAAAAGTTTCTAAGGTGTAGAATTGAACCAGGGTCAAAGGTCATCAATATATATTGATACTTGTATGGTGAATTAAACATGACCTACTGCCAGTCTGACACATTTGTCACTCATCTCTATCATCCTTAGTTTATGTACCACAAACCAATACAAAAGCTATCCAAGAAATCAATAATTAGGTTTAATTAAAAATAATCCTGCTAACTTGCACAATTTTTTTCCCCCGCACAAAATAGAAAATTTTGAAAATATAAGCTATACAATAACTTGTATCTGCTAATCTAACAATAACTAAATTAGTGGGAAATCTTATCCAGAAAGCATATCCTGAAATCAGAGAAACCTAAATAAGATACATAATACAGACATTTATAAAGCCAGAATTGGTCTGACGAGGATACACACTGATGACAATCTTTATCACGTAAACAATAAATACATGTCCTGATATCAGATACTGACAATTGTACGAATACTTTTCTGATAAACAACAAAGAAGTTACCTATATCCATTATAATCTGCTCAGATTTAAGTGATGCAAGTCTTGTACAAATAAATTTTGATTCTATGTGACATTTGAAATCAGAGATTTAGTATACAGGTGCTGGACACTCCAATAGTGACTGTCCTACACTGTACGACCAGCACCGCCCTACACTGTACGACCAGCACCGTCCTACACTGTACGACCAGTACCGTATTACACCCCTCACTGTCTCACATTTACTCTATATAGAAATAAACTTTTCAACACACAATATTTAACAATAGTAAATAATATTTAACACTAATATGACATCTATGAATATTCAAACATGTTTTTATGATAAAAATGGGTAACATAATCTGTACAATGAACCATTTTCTCTTAACTGTACACCATCAACGTGTAATTACTATAGATAGCTACCTGCACATTAAATGTAGTTAATATGCAAAGTAAAAAGCTTCAAACTAATAAACGATCTTAATGAACTTCATCTTTAGAACACCACTATAACTACCGGATTGTATTATAGTGATGGAGTTTCATTTACCTATCAGCTTTAAGATTATTTGGTTATATTTCTCCTATTGGGGATCTCTCTAGAAAAATCAATAAGATCAGAGTTATCACCCCTGAGGTCCTAGTGACTAGTGCAAGACAATCTTTACTGCTGTTACTGAACATTATTAATACAAGGAAACAAATAATGCTGTTTCCTTGCTTAAAGGTAAAAGGTGCCCTTAGATTAGAGTCAGAACAACCTGTAATAATAAGTGTATAATATCAGAATGCTTATCCAGTGATTATGTTTTTAGAATCATAAAAAAAAATAAAAAAAAAAAAAAGTTTTGTCTTCTTGCAGTTAACAAATATTTCAGCTGGGAATTTTAGATCATTTCACAGACCATTTCAATTACAAAAACTTTTGAAAATATTTTGGGATACATAATTCATATCTATACGCTGTTCAGTTAAATAAGATTGAATCCCTCATGATGCAAATGGACTCTCAAGTAGACACATGCACACAGGTAAGACTTAGGCAAATTAACACACCAGAAAGATAAAGGCAGTACTTGTTCCGACACACTAGTAAGATACAGGCAGTACTTGTTCTGACACACCAGTAAGATACAGGCAGTACTTGTTCTGACACACCTGTAAGATACAGGCAGTACTTGTTCTGACACACCAGTAAGATACAGGCAGTACTTGTTCTGACACACCTGTAAGATACAGGCAGTACTTGTTCTGACACACCAGTAAGATACAGGCAGTACTTGTTCTGACACACCTGTAAGATACAGGCAGTACCTGTTCTGACACACCAGTAAGATACAGGCAGTACTTGTTCTGACACACCTGTAAGATACAGGCAGTACTTGTTCTGACACACCAGTAAGATACAGGCAGTACTTGTTCTGACACACCTGTAAGATACAGGCAGTACTTGTTCTGACACACCAGTAAGATACAGGCAGTACTTGTTCTGACACACCTGTAAGATACAGGCAGTACTTGTTCTGACACACCAGTAAGATACAGGCAGTACTTGTTCTGACACACCTGTAAGATACAGGCAGTACTTGTTCTGACACACCAGTAAGATACAGGCAGTACCTGTTCTGACACACCAGTAAGATACAGGCAGTACTTGTTCTGACACACCTGTAAGATACAGGCAGTACTTGTTCTGACACACCAGTAAGATACAGGCAGTACCTGTTCTGACACACCAGTAAGATACAGGCAGTACTTGTTCTAACACACCAGTAAGATACAGGCAGTACTTGTTCTAACACACCAGTAAGATACAGGCAGTACTTGTTCTGACACACCTGTAAGATACAGGCAGTACTTATTCTGACACACCTCTGAGATACAGGCAATACTTTCAGATTCACCTGCTCACATGACTGTTTACGCACATCTACTATAAACCTGTATCATAGATACATATAAAGGGTGCTTTTGGTTTGCTCTTAAATTATTTAACAAATCAAGTAAAATTTTAATAGACCTATTTTTTTTTTAGAAGAGACAGAACAATATTGCACGTTTGATTTAAATATGAACTTATGAACTTATTTAGAATCAAATAATTGTTTAATTCAAATATTTGTCAAACCAAAATAATTATGGCAATCCTATAAAATGTTTGCACACAGTGCAAACAAACAAAAAATATGACTATAGTTGAGACAAATCGTCCCAGTTTTGTTGAAAACATCACCTGAAATCAGAAGCTATGATTTCCCTTTCCTCTAACCACAGCACAATATGGTGTCAAGTGTCTACATAAATAGGGAAAAAATCACACTTCGCACAAACTGATTCTCCCTGAGAGATAACATATTCAAAACCTTTTCTACTCAGCCTTTGATTTGTTCGTCCAAAAATGGTATTATTTACTTTCCTTTTATTAGTTCCAACAAAATAGATCTTCTTGGCCTACATCAACAAACAGCGGTCTTCTCAGGCACCCATTTCACAATTCTTTAGTCGACTTGATCGGCGCTTTTCTCTGAAAGTTTCAATGGGATCTTCCACAATTTGAAACCATTTTGTTTTCTACTTTAAATATCATTATGTCAAAATCCAGAAATGTACTGTTTGTGCGACCCGATAATTTGCAACAACTGAATGTCACATTTGTGTCCTAGAGTAGCTTTGCAAGGCTTGTAACATTAACAGATACTACAGGTACCAACTACCACACATACATTTACCACTATTGACCTGTACCTTCGTTTTTGTTAAAAAAAAAAGGATGTCAAGTTTGTAATATTCTATGATTGCTACTTAAACATAAAAAAATCAGGACAAACCTCAACTTGTGTCCCTGGGACTCCAACTCTCATTCAATTAATGGTCTTAAGATCCTCCAAAGGAAGTGATCACAACAATAATGAAAATATATATAATATGATGAAAGTTCTATTTGTAATCTGATGCCTCATCTTCCCCCAGGCCGATACATCGCAACGCCACTAACTATCACATAAGCATGTCATTACAATGATCCGGGGTCATTGAAGCCGTAAATGAAGGTGATAAGGTAAATTTAAATAATTGTGAATTTAATAACTTAATGCAGGTCAATGAATTTTCATGAATAATACCTTTTTAAAAATCTGCTCCATTTTGAAATGGATCTGATGAAAATAACTACATCTCATTTCAGACAACTCAAAACCTATTGATGCTAATTAACATACTAACTGTCCATGGACATCTCATTTCAGACAACTCAAAACCTATTGATGTTAACAAAATGGATACAAACTTGGAAGAGGAAGGAAAATATGTTTGGTACTAAAACAGAATACTATTTATACAGCAGTTTTTTCTTCATTCAAAACAGGAAGACATTTGTACCTCAGATACGAGAAATAATCAGTGTAAGGCAAAATCATTTCATTGAGCTGTTACAAGTTTATAATCTTAAGCTTAAACAAAACCCATTTGCCATTAATTATGGAATTACATTGTTTCATATTTGTACAATGCCCCAACAATAAGCATTGGACTTTTCACAATTCTACTTCTAACTGTGCACCATCACTATAATTTAAAAATTGGCTTAGTTTTCCCCAAATCACACCAAAACTTCCTAAACTGATAAACAGTGAAACTTATCTCAATAATTATGTGTCTGGTTGAAAAGGCTTTGTCCGAGATAATTGTGTTTATTCACCTTATACTGAAACCTGTTTAATCTAACACGGGACACATCAGATCTTGTTGTGATGCGTTTAACAATGGAAACCCATCACATCATTAGGTTGGATTTAGACAGGGCATCAGAATTCTCGGGGGTCAGATCAGACAGTTTTCATTGTACATTATCTCTATTTAACACAACCACAATATATCACGGTCGCAGTAGGACCATTTAACATGATGGGTATTCCAATGGCAACATGACCCTTACAATGCTTTTTATGAAGAAAACATTCCAGAAGCCAGACAAAATAATGCCCCACTTCAAATATTACTGGATACCTTTATCAGAGATTTCGAATTATTCCAAAACTATAATGGCATGTTCATGGCGAAGAAGAACTGATTGAAGCTCAGATTTATACTTTACATTAAAAATTTAGAATTACAGGTAAAAAGTCATTTGTCAGTCTTTTGTGAATAGTTGTTTGAAAACATTATCTGTTCCACTTGTCAGTGTCTTATTTGAGTACATTGACGGTGGGTTTGAATCATAATAGAAGTAGGTGAACTTTAAGAGGTTTTAACCATTGTAATCGTCACTGATTTAACAGTGTTACAGATACATATAAAATGGCAATAGCCAGTATCCTTTTTTCTGTTTTGGTGTCCGAGATTTTCCAAATGCCTTCATTGCCATGCCTATATCCTGAAAAGGTTCTGCGGGGTTCTCGTCACTATCTGTACTGTCTGAGTCAGACAGGTCAACATGCATGTCTAGACTGTTCTCACTCGGCAACATATATGGCTGAGCTTTATAGGAATGGCACTGGCGCTGGATCACAATGCTACTGCTGCGAGGTTTGTAGAAGGTAGTTGGCAGTGAGGCAGACTGGATGTCCATGGCAGTTGATTGTCATCTGTCCTCGGGCCGAGCTTCTGGCATCAATGGCGACGAGACGTCAATACTACTAAGAGAAGGTAAAGGGTCTCTCCAATATGTCACAGAACTGAATTCTGCAGCTACAACACCAGGAAGTCGCTGGACAGGAGGGAAGAAGTGGTCTGCCACATCATTCAGATTCAAATACCTATCAAAGCAAAACAAATAGTTCAGAAAAACAGGCAACAGAAAATTCAAGTAATTACTAAATTTAGTCTGTTAAATGGGTGGGAGACATTGTTCTGGATCGCATCAACATAAATCACCAAATAACCCTCAAATATAATGAAGTTGGCACTTGCAACATTGTCATTACAATGTATGATTGAAAATGTCGGTTGTGAGTTGCCAAACAAGAGGCCCAGAGGGCCTGCATCGCTCACCTGGAAATGTTAGCGAAATTGAAGATGAAATAGCCAGATGTTGCTGTACATGTATTACATGGTTAGTCAGGGGTTATATTTATATGCAATTGGACAAAATCCTGTCATTCCTACAGGAAAAGGAGGAATTTGAAGAATTTGTTGTGTTTCCACTTTTGGGCCCGGCCCCTCTGACCCCAGGGGGGTCAGACCCATCGATGATACAAATTTACTTCCACTTCACCCAAGGATGCTTTAGACCAAATATGGACATAATTTTGTCTTTCCTACAGAAGAAAAAGGATTTAAAAGCTCTTTTCCTATTTTCCCTATTTGGCCCCGCCCCTCTGCCCCAGGGGGTTAAAACCCACAGTTTATACAAAATCAAGTCCCATGGCCAAAGGATGCTCATAACTAAATTAGGATAAAACCCTTAATCTGTTTTACCTCTATTTCACCTATTCGGCCCTGCCCCTGTCTCCCAGGGTTGCCACACCCACCATTTGTACAAAATTGAGTCCCCTTGACCTAAGGAAAAGTTGACGGATGGACGGACGACGGACGCTGTGGTATGGCAGGTGAGCTAAAAACTTAACAGTGAACATACCTTGGGCCTGTTCGTTTATGCGGAACAACCGGTTTGACCGTTTATAAATATAACAATTTCGGGTAGAAATCCTGGCAGACCTGCAAATGTTTATGCAGGCCTTGCAAGGCTTTGTCAAGGCTCACCTGAAAGCAGCATCAGATTACTAGGTCCGACCTTTTTTTAATAAACGAACAGTGGTCTGACCGGTTTGACCGTTTAAACGAAAACGGCCCTGGCTATAATGAGTTTAGTTTGCTTTGCTTCAAACTAGTTTTTTTTAAAATGTCAACAGGTGTGATCACACAATTTATGTATATTATATCTAAAAAAAAATATTGTGATGAAAGTTTATATAGGTCACGGATATCTGAACAATGGTAAATTCACTGTGTTTCCAAAATACAGGAAGAATTGTTCTTATCATAAGTATATACCCACAATTAACTACGAGACAAATAGCCATGTATGATGATTATGACTGTGCCAGCAATACACATTAATAAGCTAAATTGCGACAGCCTTCTGGATAGGTAAGCCGACTCTAAATGACAGTACAGATCATGCAGTTAGATATTTGGATAGGTAAGCCGACTCTAAATGACAGTACAGATCATGCATTCAGATATTTGGATAGGTAAGCCGACTCTAAATGACAGTACCGGTCATGCAGTCAGATATTTGGATAGGTAAGCCGACTCTAAATGACAGTACAGATCATGCATTCAGATATTTGGATAGGTAAGCCGACTCTAAATGACAGTACCGGTCATGCAGTCAGATATTTGTATAGGTAAGCCGACTCTAAGTGACAGTACAGATCATGCTGTCAGTTTTATACGTACGATGACTGGAAGGTGTAGGCCGACTCCTGTTTCAGTTCCCCCTTGTGGTTGATGGTGAAGATCCGGAATGAAGGAATCATAATTGCTTTATAGGCAATAACATCCTGAAATACAAACACAGTTATCTCCCTTCAATGTTTTGCTTTCTGCCAAGTATCATTAATTTACATCAGTTTTTGAGTGTACGGGTAAGTTCATCTTATATTTTAGATTTTAGGCATAAGCTGGCCCTGTTTTGTCCGAGTGTGAAGACACAATGAATCATATTGAGATCTTTACTGTATGTTGACTGGCTATTGAGATTACAGACGCCAAATACTTACATTGATTTTGTTACCAAATCCAGCGTAGAAAGGCTTTTTATTGGGAAACAGCTCTGCTATATCCATGAGACAGGCAATCTTGAAATCCTCGGGCCTTTTTTCTATCACTTCCCTAAACACAATTATGTTACTTTACTTGACAGAAATACATCATCATGTAGACTTGTTCTGTATATTTTTACTGTTTACCTCATTCACCCCTGAAGACACATTTGAACTCTTCCAATTCAAAGGTTGGTATAGTTCATTATGAAATTTCTGGGGTAAATGTGTTAATGGGCTTATAAAGAATTTCAGTCACTTTGGGCCTAAAAACACCTTAAATACAGACATTCATAAAAAACCCCCACATCAAACTTAAAACTAAGAAGTTAAAAGAGGCAAAGAGAATCAATAGCAAATGAAATGTTCCTGTATTATATAATCAAGAATGAAATGTTCCTGTATTATGTAATCAAGAATGAAAAGTTCCTGTATTATATAATCAAGAATGAAATGAATGTAAATGATTATAATATATCAATAGTACAATGTATCAAACAAACTGTTCTCATATGGTGCGTCATAAAGTTTATTATCCGTTTCTCTAAAGTCACAACAAATCGATTCAGTCATAAAAGGTGTCTTCTAACTCATCCGAGATATATCACAGCATTTGATTGGTCAATCAAACTAATTACATATGTACAGAATGGCTATTGTTGATGATGTCAATGACCCTGACTAATCCCAACAGGTCACGATTATTTATGTCACCAACAATTACCACAAAATGTCAATGTAATTCTGCCTCACTTCGAACTTTACTGACGTAACCAATCTATGGCAGGGAGTGTGTTTTGGTTAGTTTAGCCGATATGAATTGAAATGGGGATAACCCTATCATATTTTTTATTTGCGGTGGTTTATCGTGATTATACTGTCACAAATCATGACTATACTGACTCCGCTCCACGTTGCCAGTAAATCTCAATATGCAACAACATAATCAAGATATACTGCCGCTAATCTCAAAATACAGTAGGGTTACCCCTCTACATGACTGCTGTTTCTGTACCTATGGAAAGCACTGACGAGCGAGGTAGGAGACAATAACAGGGGACCTTCTGGCAGCACGTGGTAGTCTTGTTTGATGCTCTTCAGCAGGTCCTTGGTGATCTTAGACTGCCCAATGGCACGGGCAGACAAATACAGGAACTTGTAACCATTGGACTGAATGTTTGTGTAGAGCTTGGCGACCCCCGACTGGGACCAGTCCTTACCGATGATGGGCAGGATCTGTCCCAGTACATCAGACCTAGCAACAGAACAGGCATCACATAAGCTTATATTAACAGCTGTATAATACATACAAATAAAATAATAGTCAGTTTACTGGATTTAATTCAAATATATTTTCCAGTCTGTCGACATATCTAACACGCTTGACTGGATATAGATAAGGATTAAAGAGTAGAATCCCACCACTTTCCACTACATACAGGTATTGAGTTCCAGTTAAAAATCATGTTACCTCGGAAATTTCCTCTTTTATCTTTTAATATTCAACGATAATAGATTTTTGGCCTTTTGATAGAGTTTCAACTTTTTAAAAATTATTTCCAGTTAAGCTGCAGGTAAGTATTAACATGACTGTAAGCACAGTGGACAAGCTTTCTGCTTTATAATCATGAGGTCCTGAGATAAAATCTCTATAACTGGACTGTTTATAATCACGAGGCCCCGAGATAAAATCTCTATAACTGGACTGTTTATAATCATGAGGTCCTGAGATAAAATCTCTATAACTGGACTGGTTATAATCACAAGCTCCCGAGATAAATCTCTATAACTGGACTGTTTATATTCACAAGGTCCCGAGATAAAATCTCTATAACTCGACTGTTTATAATCACGAGGCCCTGAGATAAAATCTCTATAACTCGACTGTTTATAATCACGAGGGCCTGAGATAAATCTCTATAAGTGGACTGTTTATAATCACGAAGTCCTGAGATAAAATCTCTATAGCTGGACTGTTTATAATCACGAGGACCCGAGATAAAATCTCTATAACTGTACTGTTTATAATCACGAGGGCCTGAGATAAATCTCTATAACCGGACTGTTTATAATCACGAGGTCCTGAGATAAAATCTCTATAACTGAAGTGTTTTTGTGAAATAGGAAATATAAAAAAATATTTCTTTCCTGAAACTCTTGGTGATAATTAATGGGCAAAAGAGTCAGAAAAATCCTTACTTTGTGATGGTACCATCAATGTCGGAGATGATGACTTTGTCGTCGTAACGCCAGAGGAAGATATGTGATGTACACTTTGTCGTGCCCTGGTACTGGGTTGTCACAGAGAACGTCACTTCATTTGCTCCTTCTCTCAGATTCAAACTTTTCTGTCAAAACAGAAACAATAATGCTTTATTTTCAAGGTAAGCTGAACAGTGATCATGAATGTAAATATATCACTGATATTAAATCAAGCTTAATTCAACAAACTTTACATAAACTAATATTGGTTTGTTTACAGTACTGAAGTAGTTGTTGGTTCTGGAGAATATCATATTTAAATTTCTTGATCATTTAGCAGGTTTATGTCCGATACGAATATATAAGGGAGCATCCAAAACAGATAACATGTGGGAAGTGGATCGACTCAGATAACATGTGGGTAGTGGATCGACTCAGATTACATGTGGGTAGTGGATTGACTCAGATAACAGGTGGGAAGTGGATTGACTCGGATAACATGTGGGTAGGTGATCGACTCAGATAACGTGTGGGAAGTGGATTGACTCAGGTAACATGTGGGTAGTGTATCGACTCAGATAACAAGTGGGTAGTGGATCGCCTCAGATAAATGTGGGGAGTGGATTGACTCAGGTAACATGTGGGGAGGGGATCGACCCAGATAACATGTGGTTAGTGCATCGACTCAGATAACGTGTGGGAAGTGGATTGACTCCGATAACATGTGGGTAATGGATCGACTCAAGAAAACATGGGGATAGGGGATCGACTCCGATAAAATGTGGGTAGGGGATCGACTCCGATAAAATGTGGGTAGTGGACCGATTCAAATAACATGGGGGTAGTGGATCGATTCAAATAACATGGGGGTAGTTGATCGACGCAGAGAACATGTGGGTAATGGATCGACTCAAGAAAACATGTGGATAGTGGAACGACTCAGATAACATATAGGTAGTGGATCTATTCAAATAACATGTGGATAGGGGATCGACTCCGATAAAATGTGGGTAGGGGATTGACTCAGATAACATGAGGGTAGGGGATGGACTCCGATAACATGTGGGTAATGGATCGACTCAAGAAAACATGTGGATAGTGAATCCACTCAGATAACATGTGGGTAATGGATCGACTCAAGAAAACATGGGGATAGGGGATCGACTCAAGATAACATGAGGATAGTGGATCGACTCAGGAAACATGTGGGGAGTGGATTGACTCAGGTAAAATGTGGGGAGTGGATGGACTCAGATAACATGAGGGTAGGGGATGGACTCCGATAACATGGGGGTAGGGGATCGACTAAGATAACATGTGGGGAGGGGATCGACTCAGGAAACATGTGGGGAGTGGATCGACTCAGATAGCATGTGGGTAGTGGATGGCCTCAGATAACATGTGGGAAGTTGATCGACTCAGATAAGCTGGGGATAGTGGATCGTCTCAGATGACATGTGGGTAGTGGGTTGAATCAGGTAACATGTGGGGAGGGGATCGATTCAAATAAAATGTGGGTAGTGGGTCGACTCAGATAAAATGGGGGAAGGGGATGGACTCAGTTAACATGTGGGTAGTGTATCGACTCAGATAACGTGTGGGAAGTGGATTGACTCGGATAACATGTGGGAAGCGGATCGACTCAGATAAAATGTAGGTAGGGGATCGACTAAGATAACATGTGGGTAATGGATCGACTCAGATAGCATGTGGGTAGTGGATCAACTAAGCTACCATGTGGATAGTGGATGGACTCAGATAACATGTAGGGAGTGGATCGACTCATATAACATGGGGGAAGGGGATGGACTCAGTTAACATGTGGGTAGTGGGTCGACTCAGATAACATGTAGGGAGTGGATCGACTCATATAACATGTTGGAAGTGGATTGACTCGGATAACATGTGGGAAGTGGATTGACTCAGATAACATGTAGGTAGTGGGTCGACTCAGATAACAAGTGGGTAGTGGATCGAATCAGATAACATGTGGGGAGGGGATCGACCCAGATAACATGTGGTTAGTGCATCGACTCAGATAACGTGTGGGAAGTGGATTGACTCCGATAACATGTGGGTAATGGATCGACTCAAGATAAAATGTGGATAGTGGATTTACTCAGATAACATGTAGGGAGTGGATCGACTCAGTTAACATGTGGGTAGTTGATCGACGCAGAGAACATGTGGGGAGTGGATCGGCTCAGAAAAAATGTGGGGAGGGGATCGACTCAGATAACATGTGGGTAGTGGATCGACTCAGATAAATGTGGGTAGTGGATCGATTCAAATAACATGTGGGTAGTGGATCGACTCAGATAACATGTGGGTAGTGGATCGACTCATATAACATGTGGGAAGTGGATTGACTCAGATAACATGTGGGTAGTGTATCGACTCAGATAACATTTGGATAGTGGATTGACTCAGGTAACATGTGGGTAGTTGATCGACTCAGATAAAATTTGGGTAGTGGATTTACTCAGATAACATGTGTGTAGTGGATCGACTCAAGAAAACATGGGGATAGGGGATCGACTCAGATAGCATGTGGGTAGTGGATTGACTCAGGGGGCATGTGGATAGTGGATTTACTCAGATAACATGTTGGTAGTGGATCGACTTAGATAAATGTGGGTAGTGGACCGATTCAAATAACATGTGGGAAGGGGATTGACTCAGATAACATGAGGATAGTGGATTGACTCAGATAACATGTGGGTAGTGGATCGACTCAGAAATGATTAACGTTTGTTGGTCTGAGGGGAGAAACTGATGGGTTGTGGTCAGAAAATGCAACCCCTCTCCCCAGTGTATACTTCCTGAGGTAACATTATCCAAAATGTACACACTAAAAAAACCCATTACAATCAAATACTTCTATCTAAACAATTTCATATGCAAGGTTACGTTTGTGATCCTTTGAAATAATTTAAAAGAACTCTGATCATTAATATAGCACTTACAATATAAATATGTCCTGTAACAACAGGAATATAGCTTACTATTTGCTCTGATGACAACCGGAGTGTCTTTTTGTACATGTCATGAGCAAGTTGCTTTTGAAGTCTCAGCGAGACTCGGTCAGAGTCGGTGTCAGCTTCACTCGACGTGTGTTCATCATCAGCTTTCACACTACAATACAAACATTACTAGGTAACCACAGGCCATTTGGATTGATATGTCTCGCCTATGCCCCACTTTGACCATCAATGCACAAACGTGTATATCAGAGAAACTAACTTAAACGCAAAAACTTTAATGTTGATGGAGATGCTGACAAAGTCAATGGACCATGAAAGGTAGGCTGCATCCAGTATTTGATGCATGATACAGAAAATACACTGAGAGGGTAACATATACTTTCATGAAAATGATGGCAACTTGTTTTGGGAATCATTAAAATATTTATGATTGATCACTGGATACACCATAGCTAACTTATCATTACTAATTGTTTTAAAGAAATGCATCTTAAGCAAAAACATAGAATAAACGATACTACATAACCACTCTTGACACCTTTCTTCAAACACCGGGTCAGTAATGTATAGTACAAATACCGCGTCAGTAATGTAAAGTACAAACACCGGGTCAGTAATGTATAGTACAAACGCCGGGTCAGTAATGTATAGTACAAACACCGGGTAAGTAATGTATAGTACAAACACCGGGTCAGTAATGCATAGTACAAATACCGTGTCAGTAATGTATAGTACAAACACCAGGTCAGTATAGTACAAACACCGGGTCAGTAATGTATAGTACAAACACCAGGTCAGTAATGTATAGTACAAACACCAGGTCAGTATAGTACAAACACCGGGTCAGTAATGCATAGTACAAATACCGTGTCAGTAATGTAAAGTACAAACACCGGGTCAGTAATGTATAGTACAAACACCAGGTCAGTATAGTACAAACACCGGGTCAGTAATGTATAGTACAAATACCGCGTCGGTAATGTAAAGTACAAACACCGGGTCAGTAATGTATAGTACAAACACCGGGTCAGTAATGTATAGTACAAACACTGGGTCAGTAATGTATAGTACAAACACCGGGTCAGTAATGTATAGTACAAATACCAGGTCAGTTATGTATAGTACAAATACCGGGTCAGTAATGTATAGTACAAACACCCGGTCAGTAATGTATAGTACATACACTGGGTCAGTAATGTATAGTACAAACACCGGGTCAACAATGTATAGTACAAACACCGGGTCAGTAATGTATAATACAAACACCGGGGTCAGTAATGTATAGTACAAACACCAGGTCAGTAATGTATAGTACAAACACCAGGTCAGTAATGTATAATACAAACACCGGGGTCAGTAATGTATAGTACAAACACCAGGTCAGTAATGTATAGTACAAACACCGGGTCAGTAATGTATAGTACAAACACCAGGTCAGTAATGTATAGTACAAACACCGGGTCAGTAATGTATAGTACAAACACCGGGTCAGTAATGTATAGTACAAACACCGGGTCAGTAATGTATAGTACAAACACCGGGTCAGTAATGTATAGTACAAACACCGGGTCAGTAATGTATAGTACAAACACCGGGTCAGTAATGTATAGTACAAACACCGGGTCAGTAATGTATAGTACAAACACCGGGTCAGTAATGTATAGTACAAACACCGGGTCAGTAATGTATAGTACAAACACCGGGTCAGTAATGTATAGTACAAACACCGGGTCAGTAATGTATAGTACAAACACCGGGTCAGTAATGTATAGTACAAACACCGGGTCAGTAATGTATAGTACAAACACCGGGTCAGTAATGTATAGTACAAACACCGGGTCAGTAATGTATAGTACAAACACCGGGTCAGTAATGTATAGTACAAACACCGGGTCAGTAATGTATAGTACAAACACCGGGTCAGTAATGTATAGTACAAACACCGGGTCAGTAATGTATAGTACAAACACCGGGTCAGTAATGTATAGTACAAACACCGGGTCAGTAATGTATAGTACAAACACCGGGTCAGTAATGTATAGTACAAACACCGGGTCAGTAATGTATAGTACAAACACCGGGTCAGTAATGTATAGTACAAACACCGGGTCAGTAATGTATAGTACAAACACCGGGTCAGTAATGTATAGTACAAACACCGGGTCAGTAATGTATAGTACAAACACCGGGTCAGTAATGTATAGTACAAACACCGGGTCAGTAATGTATAGTACAAACACCGGGTCAGTAATGTATAGTACAAACACCGGGTCAGTAATGTATAGTACAAACACCGGGTCAGTAATGTATAGTACAAACACCGGGTCAGTAATGTATAGTACAAACACCGGGTCAGTAATGTATAGTACAAACACCGGGTCAGTAATGTATAGTACAAACACCGGGTCAGTAATGTAAAGTACTAAGTGGCCACAAGCAATGCCAATAGAGCACATGGAAATAAATATTGGGTGACTTCGGTTCTGCTGCTGAACTCTTGTTAGTATCTCTAGTAATATATACACAGTTATTCTGACTAATATCAATCATGAATTCTGTAGTCAATTAAGTCGACAAAGTTGATTACTCAGAACATCACGAATACCAACAGTGACCTTTGCCTCGAAGATCACATTAAAATTGGCAGGCATTTTTCAAAATCTGACAAGATATTAAGTTCAAAATGCTAGCTGTAGTCACCTGTCCTCAGTGATACGTCGTTCCTTCCTGGGACTGCTGGTGAGACTGGGCGGGGGACTGGTGTGGGGACTCGTTGAGACAGATACATCCGTCTGCTGTAACAGAGAAGCAATGGTGTAATGGTTCCTACTGCTTCCCTTCTTCGCTGTGTAGGGAATCAACTGGCATATGATTAATTAGAAAGTTAACCAACCGATGACAGAATCATGGTCGTGACATGTTCATTTTGTTTGTATTCATGTACTATAAAAATATGCAAGACCACATACTTTTGTTTTTGTAACGAATCAGAAAGCACGTTGTATTTCATGGTCTGAATATTGCTTGTATTACTATAACAAGATTCAACAGGTTTGTGATAAATTAACTAATTTACTAGCAGACTATTTCCACAAGGATGATATTTTGCGATTTCGTGGGTCAATCAAGTGATCGCAGCAAATATATGTAAAAACGTAAATTATAATGGAATATAAAACATTTATTCTCTTAATTTGCGGTTGGTTTTATATTTCACATTGCATTTTGTACGTAATATACAAACACTGTCTAATATGGATTTTTGTCAAAAGATCCTTCACTTTTGTCAAGACATGTTCCAATGTCATGGGTAAGAGAACATGTGTATACCAAGGATGGAATTATTGGACTTTTCTACTTGTAACTTGTAACTATGTTGACTCACTGTTTTGTTCATGACTAGATCTGAATCCGACATTGTTTTCAGATTTTCCAGGGTACTTCCAGATGCTTCTAGTTTTGATACGCCAGTCTCAGGGGTGGTACTAGTGCGACGCCAGGAGAACCAGGACGAGACGCGACTTCCCTGTTTCTTATCTTTCTTTTTTGGCATGTATTCTGAGGAGAGTTTGTCGACTGTTATCTGAAAAGAAAGTACAAGGGTACCAAATATATTTACGCACCACGCTGGTTTTCCCTCTATAATCTGCAGTGGACAACTCTCACAATGTTTCATTTGTATTATATATTCACAAAATATTTCCAACCATTTTTATTTATACAACAATTCAACTTTTTAGATCTTTTCAATTGGAGCAGTCTACTATAGACTGATAAAAAATCTTGAAATCTTATGATTTGACAAAACAGAACTAAAAAGGTTGTATCATGTACATTGGTGTTGAAAGCTACATTAAAGGTATAATTGATGTAGCTACAATACAGGTGTAATTGATGTAACTACACTACAGGTATAATTGATGTAGCTACATTACAGGTATAATTTATGTAGCTACATTACAGGTATAATTGATATAGCTACATTACAGGTATAATTGATGTAGCTACATTACAGGTATAATTTATGTAGCTACATTACAGGTATAATTGATGTAGCTACATTACAGGTATAATTGATGTAGCTACATTACAGGTATAATTGATGTAGCTACATTACAGGTATAATTGATGTAGCTACATTACAGGTATAATTGATGTAGCTACATTACAGGTATAATTGATGTAGCTACATTACAGGTATAATTGATGTAGCTACATTACAGGTATAATTGATGTAGCTACATTACAGGTATAATTGATGTAGCTACATTACAGGTATAATTGATGTAGCTACATTACAGGTATAATTGATGTAGCTACATTACAGGTATAATTGATGTAGCTACATTACAGGTATAATTGATGTAGCTACATTACAGGTATAATTGATGTAGCTACATTACAGGTATAATTGATGTAGCTACATTACAGGTATAATTGATGTAGCTACATTACAGGTATAATTGATGTAGCTACATTACAGGTATAATTGATGTAGCTACATTACAGGTATAATTGATGTAGCTACATTACAGGTATAATTGATGTAGCTACATTACAGGTATAATTGATGTAGCTACATTACAGGTATAATTGATGTAGCTACATTACAGGTATAATTGATGTAGCTACATTACAGGTATAATTGATGTAGCTACATTACAGGTATAATTGATGTAGCTACATTACAGGTATAATTGATGTAGCTACATTACAGGTATAATTGATGTAGGTCCACTGATGTAAACACATACCTCAGGCAAGTCCTTGTTAAATACAACTTGAGACAAAATAATTGGAGCTGCTGTCTGCCAGTTATAATACCTATAATAAAAATAAGTATAACGTCTTAAAATGGTCATTGAAATACACCAAAGTCATACAAAGTTTTCTCTGCTATCAGGAAAGATAATTAAAAAAGTATGATAAACAAATTAATTGAATACTGAAACAAGCGACCTGTAGATATTCCAAAAAACCACCAAGATATTCTGTCACTTAATTCGCTTTCATTTCATAAATCAAAAACAAATTACACTTTTGAAAGAAAAAAAGAAAAAAAGAAAAACACAGCAACCTACTTTTCACCAATACGAATCACTAACTCCGGATTAGAAATCATATTGTAGTTTTCACAGAGGTCATCAAATGTTACAACGCTCTGCATGAACTTCTCCAAAGTGACACCTTCGGACTCGGATAGCCCACCACATAACGACATGGAGAAGTTCCCTAAATGTTTGACTTCTGACTGCAGAAAGCTGACAGACGGACCTCCTATAGCACCCTCAACAGAATTGGGTGAAACAGGAAGTGATGCTCCCCTCCCAGACTCTGTATCCTCTTCCTTGTCCTTGATTGACATAAACGGAGACTGGTGGAAACTGAAATAAAAATTGTACAATTAAAATATGATCATTGCTTGTAGGTGATCAAGGCTTTATCGATACTGAAACATTGATGGATTAACCATTCACTTTTTCCAAGAGTGAGACTGTTACATTAATTGTATCAGATACTGGGTTAAATTTCATGTTCAAGGTTTACATCCTACAAACATTCAACATACCGTTCAACCCTGACTAAACAGCGATTGTGAGATTTTCGTTTTAAAAGAGATTTGCCTTCTAGAAAATAAGATTTTGATGATGTGATATGTTGGTTTTAAAATTATTCTGATATTTTTCACCCCGTTTTTCATCGATTACTGGTTAAGCCATAATTTGTTACATGAAGAAAATAAAACGTTCAATCTGTATCAAACTTAACATTTTGATTCTCCTTCAAGCACGAAAAGTCGAAATCCTTTGACTTCATTAACCCTTTCACCCCTATGTAACTTTAGTAGACTCTACCATGCATTGATCTGGATGAGTCCATGATGGTCTACAGTGGTGAAAGGGTTAACATGTTAGTGGACTTACACACGTCTTTAAGTGTTGTTACACAGTGTGACTGGACAGTGATAACTTTGAAGAAACATGCAGCTTCATAAAAGCATGAGATTATAATACCACGGCTGTGATTTCATGGGCATAAGGAAAGGAATAGCCGAGATTGTGACTCGTGCTCAGGTTGTGAGAGTTGATAGGTATGAGCTAACATGGGGAGGAACACTGCCGTAAACTAAAGTAGATGTCAAGTCACGCACAGAATGAAAATGTCGGTAAACAAAACGCATTACATGCCTGCAGGGTTGGATATAAAATCAACTATCAAACTACTGAAATTTGAAAATAATACTCATGTCATAAATGAGGGAAACAATTCCATTTTTCAACGATAACAACTTTGAAATATATTCATCGCCTCACAAAGTGCAAGGATGAGGTTAAATTAGATTTTAACGTAAATATTTGTTCCAGATGCAAATAAGAAGCTTTTAGAGCAATTATATATCAATAAAAAATACATGACATTATCTTACAGACACAAATTTCATATTGATTAAAACAAGAGGCCCATGGGCCTTAATGGTCACCTGAGTCCTACAGTATTTATTTTTGTTGTTGAAATATGTACCAATTTGAGTAAAAATAGTTAAGTATAACGTTAATTTAAGTTTGTCAGGACCATGAGCTGATCATTCCTAGACCGAGTTTCAGTTCAATTGGCCTGATAGAACTTGTTTTTAAGTTTGAAATGGTTATTTTCAAAAAAGCGGCCGTGGCAGCCAAATTATATTTCTGATCGACCTGAAAAATAACAGCACTTTGTCAGGACCATGAGACGATCATTCCCAGTAAGTTTCAGTTTAATCAGCCCAGTAGAACTTGACTTTAATTATAAGTTTGAAATAGTTCTTCAAGATTTCTGATCGACCCGAAAAATAACAACACTTGGTCAGGGAGATGTCAGTAATCTTCCCATGAAATATTCATGAAATCCCTCTGCCAGTATTTCAGCTTAAGTTAATGTAAAATGTAAAATGTTAACGAACGACGCACGACGACGGACGAAGACTGATAGCAATAGGTCACTTGAGCTAAATCTCAGGTGACCTAAAAAAAGTTGATGTGCTACATAAAATCATTTCTAAACATGAAGTAACAAAACATGCAGTAACAAAATCTTGAAAGTAAAACATGTGAAGTCAATCTTATTTTTAAGATAAAGAAATATAATCAAATTTCTCTGTTTATGGTCCTGTACAAAAACCCTGCAATCGTTTGTCAGGAGAAATGTTGGCGTAACACAGAGATTTGGAAAGGAAAAGGGGGACCCATATAAAGAGAAATATGGTTAGAGGGACAATATTCCCAAGGTTTAGTGTGTGAACATGTTAGTTACTTTTGACACATGTTTTTAATGCTAAGTACCAACAATTTTTTACTGAAACATTACAGGATATTATCAGTTATAACAGTTTTCTGTGATTTTGGTGTTATAATATCAACACACACAAACTGTTTGTATAATATCAACACACACAAACTGTTTGTATAATATCAACACGCACAAACTGTTTGTTATAATATCAACACACACAAACTGGAATTGTATTAACTTTGTAAATATCAACACACTCAAACTGGAATTGTATTAACTTAGTAAATATCAACACACACAAACTGGCATTGTATTAACTTTGTAAATATCAACACACACAAACTGGCATTGTATTAACTTTGTAAATAACAACACACACAAACTGGAATTGTATTAACTGTGTTATATATCAACACACACACACTGGAATTGTATAAACTTTGTTATATATCAACACACACAAACTGGAATTGTATTAACTTTGTTATATATCAACACACACACACACTGGAATTGTATTAACTTTGTTAAATATCAGCACACACACACTGGAATTGTATAAACTTTGTTATATATCAACACACACACACTGGAATTGTATAAACTTAACCATGCTTGACAAAGAAATTCAAGCAATGAAAACAAATATTATTTGGTTAATTAAACGAAACAGGATCTTTTGGAATTAGCTTACTTACTGCTTTGACAATCTGCAGAGCAAGAAAACAGAAAGCGTTATACGTATATCCTTCAGGTATATTATTACAAGCACTCCAAGCAGTTAACACTGGTCCCTTTTTGTCTTAATTAAAAAAATCTTAAATTTACATGAAAAGGAGTTGTAAGTAAAGTCCCCCTAATATCATTAGAAATGGTTACATAAGCAATGTGATATTAAGTGAAATATGACACTAACAGAAATGTTTTCTGGGAAAATAAACCACTTTGGTAATGTGTACCGTTCATTGATGTTATATAAAACTTTTCAAAATCTTATTTTTCATCTTACATATATATACCTTCCTCACATGACATGGACAAACTTAGTGGAGAAAACTCCTCCTTTGTGAAGTGTCTAAATTACACCAGGTCTAGATGTGAGATTGGACCCTCAGGGCCATTAAGTGTCTGAGTTACACCAGGTCTAGATGTGAGATTGGACCCTTAGGGCAATTAAGTGTCTAAGTTAACCCAGGTCTAGATGTGAGATTGGACCCTCAGGGCCATTAGGTGTGTTTGAGTTTCACCAGGACTAGATGTGAGATTGGACCCTCAGGGCCATTAAGTGTCTAAGTTACCCCAGGTCTAGATGTGAGATTGGACCCTCAGGGCCATTAAGTGTCTGAGTTACACCAGGTCTAGATGTGAGATTGGACCCTCACGGCCATTAAGTGTCTAAGTTACACCAGGACTAGATGTGAGATTGGACCCTCAGGACCATTAAGTGTCTAAGTTACACCAGGTCTAGATGTGAGATTGGACTCTCACGGCCACATTAAGTGTCTAAGTTAACCCAGGTCTATATGTGAGATTGGACACTCACGGACACATTAAGTGTCTAAGTTAACCCAGGTCTAGATGTGAGATTGGGCTCTCACGGCCACATTAAGTGTCTAAGTTAACCCAGGTCTAGATGTGAGATTGGACCCTCAGGGCCATTAAGTGTCTAAGTTAACCCAGGTCTATATGTGAGATTGGACCCTCACGGCCATTACAAGACTAAATCATTGGTGATATTTTGGCCTGCGTCTGGTAATTATTTAAATGTAATACTATATTGTCTACTACAATACCAGGTAACAGGATTCAATCACATGACATAAAACAAATTTAATTACATGCATCATATAACTGACAAATGAAAATATGTTATTATATGGATTCTAACATGTATATTAAGTGGACTCCATATCAAGTGGTTAATAAGCATTGGTTCAGTTGAAGCAGACAAGCACTAAGCTACTTTGTAAGTACAGCAATGTTTGTAATGGTAATGTCATATAAGGTGTTAGCTTATTGTACGGTACAGTCTGAAGTAGGACTGATTCTGGAATACTGTTCTTAAGGTAGGGTTAATTTCAGGTATACAGACATATTCTGAAGTATGTACATGTTCCTGAGTTTGGACTTGTGAACTAATTCTCGTGCACAGACTTACTCTGGCTGGTAACTTGCACAGACATGTCTATTTATCAGATGCTGTTGTTATAAGCCATGTGGTATAACATTTACTGTTTAGGGGTTGTTATAAGCCACGTGGTATAACATTTACTGTTTAGGGGTTGTTATAAGCCACATGGTATAACATTTACCGTTTAGGGGTTGTTATAAGCCATGTGGTATAACATTTACCGTTTAGGGGTTGTTATAAGCCACCTGATATAACATTTACCGTTTAGGGGTTGTTATAAGCCACATGGTATAACATTTACCATTTAGGGGTTGTTATAAGCCATGTGGTATAACATTTACCATTTAGGGGTTGTTATAAGCCACATGGTATACAATTTACCGTTTAGGAGTTGTTATAAGCCACATGGTATAACATTTACCGTTTAGGGGTTGTTATAAGCCATGCGGTATAACATTTACCATTTAGGGGTTGTTATAAGCCCTGTGGTATAACATTTACCGTTTAGGGGTTGTTATAAGCCACATGGTATAACATTTACCGTTTAGGAGTTGTTATAAGCCACCTGGTATAACATTTACCGTTTAGGGTTGTTATAAGCCACATGGTATAACATTTACCATTTAGGGGTTGTTATAAGCCATGTGGTATAACATTTACCGTTTAGGGGTTGTTATAAGCCACATGGTATAAAATTTACCGTTTAGGGAAGTAGAGTTTGGCAATCTCTGGATCCATCTCCTCTAACTTAAGGTCGTCTAGGTAGATTCCCTCCTCCTCTGGTTTGTGTCGCACAGCCTTTGTCTTCCTCATGAATTTAAACAACCCTCCTGAGGTCTCTGTAGTGCTTCTTCGTGAGGTACCTATAGACAAGTCATAAAAGAATATGTTACTCTACACATATTTTACTGGTGATAGAATCATGCCTGCTGATAAACTTAACTCCTCTTTTTCCTCACTTTTTATGCTCATAGTGGGTGCCAAAAAATATACCATCCCCTTTCATTGCTGCAGATGAAAAATTTCTTTGATTGCACATGAAGTAGTCTCAGTCTAGCCTAAGTCTTATACATAGCTCTGGATGTAGTTAGGATACATGGTAGTTCTGTCTGAGTACATTCTTGGGGTCAAAATAGAAGTTCCATAAATCTAACGGACCTATGGATGTATTTTCTCCCAAGTGTTGTCGCTGAGTTATATGAGAAAATAATCGGTGACAAATAGAACTTTCCTTGTTACATGTACCTCCCTGCTATGTTGTCACACTGCCATTATTAGGTATTAAAACTGTTTCCATGACCTTTTTATACAGGGTAGTATGAACATGTCCGTTTCAGGATACAGACCTCCTATAGGAATGTTGTATAGGAATTGTGTCTTACCTGGAACAGCTCTATCCTAAACCTCCTTAATTTTCAATTTATTCTGTGGACTGTGGACTATAAAATCAATAATTTGAGGTTCTAATAAACCCCTTGATCACAACCTAATGCGTAGGTCGTTTCAAAGTGGTTCACAAATTATCATCCGTGGGCCTTTGCAACCAGCCAATATCTTTCTCAACTACCTGGGGAGCATACAGCTGGTGCTGCCATTTCGGTGCTAACAGCTAGCATTCAACAATTCTAGCACTGCCCAACTACGTACATACTCATTTACAGCTGAGTAGACTGAAACGAGCAAAGTAAAGTACAACTCTACAAAGATACAACTCCATGCCATGCTGTGACTCGAACCAACAACCCTTTGGACACAAGCCCGGCGTCCTACCACTAGACTACCGTGCCTCCTATAGCCCGGCGTCCTACCACTAGACTACCGTGCCTCCTATAGCCCGGAGACCATATGTAGACCATTTCAATTTGCAAATGAGCCTCCTTGCCCGTGAATATGAGCATTAATCCTTCATTGATAAAAAAAGACTTATTGTAATTAATTGTTATATTGACTGATTTATTAATCATATATTTATTAATATTGTCAGGGAAATGTACAAAGAGCTATGGCGGAAAACTGCCCATATTTCCTAGAGTCGGCATTTATGAAAACGACAAAAATAAAAAAGGGCAAAGCAAAAAAAATGAACATGCGGGAAAATTCATCGTCCAAAACAGTCTCATTTGTTTTAATTGCAGGAAGACTGCGGCACAATTCGAAAAATGTATGTAATTTTACTATTCCAAGGTGCAGGAAGAACAAAATCAAGATGTGTGCTTTTTAAGAAAACAGGTAGCGGCATGATGTAGGCAACAGTAATGAAAATTAAATCCTTTCAAACTTGTTGGTAATGATTGTACGATCTTGTGTTTCATACAGCATAACACGAAATAAGCTATTAATCGACTCTTTATCGTGAAACGCATGTATTTATTAGCCATGGCCTTAAATTCGGCTGTTTACATTAATCTATTCTTATACATGGGATTCCGAAAGAGCTACCTGTATACAAATATGCGTCATAACAGTATACGGTTGGATGCACGCACTAGCGGATCGTAGCTTTGGGGAAATAGGCATAGCAACCCGCCATAGCTCTTTCTCCTGAAAAAGTTGTGTTCAACTTTGACAATTGCACTATGAGAGAAGATCATAATGTTACCCTGGTGTTCTGGACCGAGATGTCCCGGGGTCTGGGGGTCACCCAGCCCTACAATGGTCTCGTCAACGCTTTTTCTTGGCAGGTCGCCCCATTCCCACAATGTGTTGTCCTCCTCAGACAGAAGAAGCTCATTGACCTCGCCCTGGTGACGCAGTTGGACCTCAGTGTCACTTTTTGGGGAGGGAGGACGCGTACTGGCAGGACTAGAACAGAAGAAATGGTATTTTTTCAAATTTCAAAATAATCACCTGCACAACAATTATGGTAAATTAAATTTATCCACACAATCTATCAATAATTTCTAATATCAGGTGAACTGATAAACGCATTATCACACCTGGTATTACCTGTAATACTTTCCAGCTCCTAAGGAAATAGTTCACATTTTTTGTGAATAGCTTTATTTACTTATATATCTTAACATATTCGCCCTGGATGTAGTTAACTAATTAACTAATCCCTTTCATCACCAAAATGTTGTGGTCCTAGTAGTGATACTTGTGCTGTTTAATTAAAAACTATGATTGTGGTTAATGGGTTCAACCAATTATTTAATTTGTTTATGGAAACTTTTATTATTTGATAATGTGTCAAAATTATTTATTATATCAATATTAAATTATTACATTCATGTGTATATATATTTTGCCTGATTTACATACATTATTATTGAAAAAATACCAAATAAATAAAATCCACTTATACAATATCTTGGCCATTTAACCAGATATTAATTTTATGGAGATCAAAGCACACAAATACACGTGATAAATGAGATGCACACAAACACACACAGTACTGATAGAAAACATGTGAATTATGACTTTTTTAGTGTTTTGAGATCTAGAGGTCACAGAACAATTACGATCCATAGATCTTATCTGAATTATTTAGATCAACATATGTCCACATTGTGTCGCCCATATCTATTCCTTTTATGGGTAACAAAGAACTTACAAAGGGAGACAATACTTTCACAGAGATGTCTCAAAATAAATCAACAAATCTGTTCAGCCAAAAAAACATTATGTCTGTTTAGGGTTCCCGACAGACCCCTGACCCAAAACTTTTTGATGAAAAAAAAACAATAAAAAAAACCACACTGATTTTCGAATTTTAGAAGGTTTCTTGCCTTTCAAAATAGCTTCTAGCTCTTGTGTTGGCGCTAAATGTCAGCATATGGAGCACAATTTGCCTCCAAATGAACCTTGTTTATATAATTCTTTGTTTTACATACAATAGTAGGGTCATAATCACATGACCACCTGGTACACAAAAATATACACAAAAAAAAATAAAATCGACCTACCTATATACCCTTGTTTTTTTGCCCATACAACCCTAAACAGACTTTTATTATTTTTTGGCCTTAACCATAACTTTTCAAGGCATAAACCTTGTCAGTCAATCAAAAAATTAATAAAATCTTTAGATTTTAAATAATACATGTATCAGAACTGTTCGCAGAGACTTTAGTCCTATGATGTTAGTTCATCTCACAGCACCACAAAATGGATGTGTCTAAAGAGCACACTAAACTTGCCTCATGATCAATATAGGAATTTTTTCTCTGTTCAGATGAAAAGATATATGAAGTTCATAAAACGAAGTAATTTCAACTTCATTTTATCAATTCAAAAAACTAGTTTTTGCTAATAGACATGCAAAACAGCATCAGTCTATGACTTTTGACAATTAACATTCTTAATTAACCTAAAGTACCTGATTAATGACCTGGTAGTTCTTCCCAAACAAAAAGAAGTAAATAATGAAGAAATATTTTTTCTTGAATTTACACTTAGTCGTAATATACATCCAACAACCGCTGAACACGAGTTAGGGCTAGCTGCCTAAGGCTAATATTTCAAATGGTAGCTAACACAGAGAAAGCGTCTAATTTGCCAAATGTATATAGTACCTGTTCATGGGGGAGATGTCTGTGTCACTGAAGGGATGGGGGTAGCTGTAGGTGTTGTATTGGGTGCTAGCCCAGTCACTGGTCCGCTGAAGGCTGGTCTCTTCCATGATTGGCAGACTCACCGACTTGCCCATGGTGCCCAGTGGAGGCATGGGTGGCAGATTGGCTAATTCTTCATCCGATGATACGTCATCGATATCAAACATTGGAATATCATCCTCGTCAGCAGGCTTTTTATCAGTTTCCAAGTTCCCAGAAGGTATCTGTCTCTTTTTTGTTATGCGTCTTTTCTTCCTGCGTTTGCTGTGACTCTCTTTGAGGCCATTTTGCTGACCTTCTGGGTCTTCCATCTGAATTCTGACCTCACTGCCCTTGGATGGAAGGACATCGTCCTGATCAAAGTACTTCTGTTTCATTTCCTTGACACCTTGCTCCATGAGATCCTCATGTGATGGTATGGGAGAGGTGGCCAGGTAAGCTGGAACATCCTGGGGAAACATTGACGTTATCAGTATTTCTCCTGTGTTATATTTATCCTTGTCAATATATATGCAGTTTGATACTAGTTATTCCGTCTTTGCGTATTGCAGAGTTATCTTCTCTTGTGAGCAGGTATTGATTGTTACGTCACTTGTTTGTGAGAGTAACGTCATCAATTTTTGAGAAAACAACGTAATTTTCTCACACAAACCAATGACGTGACAATCAATACCTGCTCCCAAGAGAAGAAAACTCTGCAATACGCAAAGACGGAATAAGATACTGTAAACCATTAAATTTCTGGCACTTTTACTTGGATAATCTCTGTTAGTCCATAGCTGATTCCATCACTCAAAATGGCATTATTGTGCATTGTACAAGGGAGAGAACTTTTTTAATTCTAGAACTTTTTTAATGTGTTATGCAACTCATTACCTGTAAGTACCGAGTTTGCCACTCTGTACCAATCACAACATTATGTAAAACATAAACTTTTCAGCCCTTTCACTTAAAAACAATGTCTGTTAGTTCATTGTTAAGTTCATGATAAAAGTACTGTTACTGTTTTGTAAATATTCTCTCTAATCATGAACATTGATCAGTTTGCTCTGATACTGAGGATGAAGGGTAAACAAGTTAACTGCTACATTTCGCCTACATTCAGTGAACATTCAGTCAGCTTGAGTTACGGTTGTAGAACTCTCGGAGAAACAGATCATAACAATTTTCCTAGAAAGGCATCAGTTCAGTTGTATTAACACATTGTACCCCCGATTTTGATTCCTTTAAAAGCAATTCCAGAACCTGTAGCTCTGTATTCATCAAACCATTCTTTTGCTCAAAACAGTCTTCGTTCTTATGCTTGAATCCCAATTTAGTGAGAAAATACTTGTAAAAGTTGAAATCATTTCCTTTTACCTTTGTACTTGGCCATGCTGTATAGGTGCTACCATTCCAATAGGCTCAGTGCTTACATGTTAACCCATCCCCCCATCTCAGTGAGGCAATAAAAGACTGATTTGATGCTCATGCAAGACTGAGATTTAGAGGTAAAATTCCAATAAATCTCGGTATAGAATTTGTTAGAAAAATGCTGCAAGAAAAACATATTTTCAATATTTATGTAACTTAGCACATTGATGAGAGTTGTCCTACCTCTCCAGGTTCCTCGACTTCAGTGACAAAGAAGGCCTCACCAGAATCGCCCAGCTTCATGTGAAGGTCCACTGCCTTCCCATTGATTGATATGTCAACCTGAAATTCAACATGGTACACAATTACTGTCTACGACATACAACATGGTACACAATTACTGTCTACGACATACAACATGGTACACAATTACTGTCTACGACATACAACATGGTACACAATTACTGTCTACGACATACAACATGGTACACAATTACTGTCTACGACATACAACATGGTACACAATTACTGTCTACGACATACAACATGGTACACAATTACTGTCTACGACATACAACATGGTACACAATTACTGTCTACGACATACAACATGGTACACAATTACTGTCTACGACATACAACATGGTACACAATTACTGTCTACGACATAAGATTTACCTGACCGAGACATCTTATGAAAACTATCTTGTTTAGAACAAAAAAGAATTAAAATAACGGAAAAAAAAGAGATTTTATTACAATCATTTTCAAAAATTAATTCATTAGCATATCATTTTTCACATTGTTCCACAGAGAAAACTGCCAATTGTGACTCCAAGCAAGAGACAAGCCAAAATGTCTGAATTTCCAGGTTTGATGGGTTTCACTGAACAACATGTTACCATATATACCAAGCTATGACTTACATAAGTAATAGCATAGCATACTTAGGCCAACAAAAAAAAAGATGTCTGTTTAGGGTCCCCGACCAACCCTAGCTTTTTACCCCCCGACCCAAAACTTTATGATGAAAAAAAAACAAAAACAAAAACGCTGATTTTCGAATTTTAGAAGGTTCCTTGCCTTTCAAAATGGCTTCCAGCTCCTTGTTGGCGCTAAATGTCATCATATGGAGCACAATTTCCCTCCAAATGAACCTTGTTGATGTAATTCTTAGTTTTACATACAATAGTAGGGTCATAATCACATGACCAAAAGGTACATAAAAATATACAAAACAAAAAACAAAACAAAAAAAATCTGACCTACCTACCCTTGTTTTTTTGCCCATGCAACACCCTAAACAGACTATATTTTTTGTTTGGCCTTAGGATGAGGGCTATCATAAGCTCGCATGCACTCCTTAAACATACCACTTTCTCCTTCGAACGAAGCACTCCCAACTTGCCGAACCGCACGTGGAATGGTGAAGATCGGTAGGTTCCATCTTCCTGTTCTATAATGATAGAGTCGATCGCTCCAGTCAGGGTTGCTGCATTTATTTCATTGTAGAACCCTTTCACGTTTGAGAATAACTTTCCTACGTACCCGAAATAGTTGCTCATGCTTTTCTACTGAGCCATCATGTACCGCTATTTAGAGTATCAATGTGGTTTAGTTTCCTGGAAAGACAAAACACAAATCAAATCAATTTTATACAGTCAATACAATTAGCATATATATTAATCGATACAATATTGAGGAATTCGCAGGAGCTGCCTTATCAGGCCCTAACTACTAGTCCTATGCCACCTGGCTAATATCTCCCTATGAGTGTATGCCTGTGTGTGTGCTGGAGATGTATTGTGTTCTGTTTGTAGTGGGACCGTGCTTCCAACGGTATCATTTATAGTGCCACCTCACACCTCACTTGAATGATACAGCACAGATACCGCAACACCCACCCCAGACCACTTTATACTCCACCTGGGTTGTTGGAGTTGTGTGGGCAGGAGAAAAACTCTTTCTCTAATATTCCATGCGTACGGCGACTTCGGGGATCGAACCCCGGCCACTTGCTTGGAAGGTCGGAGTGTTAACCACTCGACCAATCCGCCCATGGATCATGGATGTTCGAGCTACCCTTTTCTTGCTTATCCCATTGGCACAGTTTTCAGTACTCATTTTTGTGATGATCAGTCCTTGATGTATTAAAGCCATATATACAAGAAACTTTATCATATCTTATAGTCTTACCTACTTTTATTTGCACTAGATAATACTAGATTGAGCTTTGGTATGGTACAAAAGACACAAATACTAAAATAGCTTTTTTTTATTACATGGTAAAATCCTACTTTCTAAAGGTGGTGTTTGTAAAGAGTAATTATGTTGTAATACATTGTATTTCAAACTTAATTAGCTAAATGGAAACCAACACTCCTGCAGGATGTCAAAATTCTCAGGGTATGAAAATCAGACAGGTTTCAATGTATTTCAAAAACATTATGATAAGAGCAAGGTGAGCTAGTGTATGATTGCACTGTGATATCTTTACTATGACTGACAAAATGTTATTTTATAACTGACTTTTTGACATTCATGATATTCTGTAAGTAGTGTACACGTATAATTTTTGCGTAAGCGTATGTTGTTTAGACATGTAACGGTATATGGTATCTTTAGGAATGACCGAGTTTCCATCATAAATACTGGTATATGGTATCTTTAGGAATGACCGAGTTTCCATCATAAAAACCGGTATATGGTATCTTTATGAATGACCGAGTTTCCATCATAAAAACTGTTTACATATATATATTTGACTGGTATCCAACTTCCATTCATAAGGTGACCTAGATATGCATTCATTCACAAACCTAAGTTTTTATTTTTAGCTCCATTTGAAAGTGCTGTTTCTATATCTACGATACAATGTCCCGTACCACGCACTATATAATTGAATATAATATTTCATATCATTTATAATCTACACTGAACTTCCAACCACAGCAGACTTATGTATAATGACAGGCAAAAAATGTATTACAAGGGTAACCCTACCTATACCAGGTTCAACCGCTGATCCTCCCAGAGACTTTAAAATACTTAGTGGTAAACTTGAAACCAAATTTCTTCTCAATTTACATAGTTAAATTTTTTGGGAAAAGTTAAAAAATAACTGCCTATATATACTTTTACCCACAGTAATTATTTTAGGATATTACAGTAAACTGGTTTCCTTTATCTTATCCATGACCTGATGTTTCTTAAAATAGTAAGATCAAGTCAGTATCACAAATCAACGACCCTACGTGAGTATAATCCTAGCAATGATCAAGAAGATGTAAGTAAAATGTGAGTCGTTAAATATAAATTTTAACACAAAAATCCCTTTGTCCACTGTCCTAATAATTTCCAATCCATAGGGAAACATTTACGCCAAGTGATTTATATTCATGTCTGAAATAATGAAAATTTCACAAATTATGTTCAAATTTTTCAAATCAATATAATCAAATTTTCATAAAAGTTTCATAATAGTTTAACACTGATTTTCATTTTCATTATAAAGTTCTTTAAGCACAAAATTAACAAACATGACCCTATATGTATATATATATGTATACTTGTATACCAGTATTGTGAAATATAAACTTGCTTACAAATTCATCAGAAACAGGTACCACTAACAGTGACCACCTATTTACATTTTAATTAGAACTTTCTAATTAACCACAGAAGTTGGAGTTCCCAAAAAGTCCTACTTGGTATTTAAGGCGAAAGCCTTAAATTTATGATGTAAAGTTGTAAACTTAAAAAGTTTATAAAACAGGTCCAGGCCAATACACTGCTGTAACAACTTGAACATGTGACTCACAGCTGTGAGATGATTATGACTCGGTAAATACATTGTATAATGTCTATATATATCTGTCATTATTTACATTTCAATACTTTTCATGTTTTTGACAAATTTATATAACTTTCTGATTACAAAACATGTAGCACAATACTAAAACCCCACTAAAGTTGTCATTTTAAAATAATATTAATAACTTATCAATATACACATGTACGATAGTGCTGTATTCACAGCCTGATAGTAACACGTACCGGTATACACACTCCACAACTTCGTGGTACACTAGTATACCTGTCTGAGGTCTGCTGGAATGCGGCCACTAGTAACACATGTACAGCAGACTGTGGTTTGTTTACTACTTAATCACAATACCTTACACAGGTCACCTGGCCCAATTCCAAACATGTCTTTCAAACAACAAAACAACCAAAACAGTATATGCATTACTCTGTCTGGTGAGCCCTGATCTGTGTTTCCTATAACCAGTGCATGAGATGAATTGCCCAGACTGTGTCACTTGGCACGGTATACAAGAATGCTGTGGAATGATACAGCCCTGAACACTCCTTTTTCTGAAAGGACTCACGATTTTATAGTAAAACAGATTCACAACAAGTTATGTCACTCCATAAAAATATTTTAATTTACTTTACATTGAACTGTTGTTCTGAATTTTGGTTCAAATTCCCAGGATATTTTAAAGTTGTCAGGACACTGATATACGCTAATACGTGTTGGCAACCCAGGGGAAAAAGAGGCATCTAATTTGAGCTCGAGGTACACTTTTTGGGGTACATAGGGTATGCCTTACACTTTGTCAGGGTATATACCTTAGGTAATTTTTTGGTAGCCAAGAAACGTCAGACAAAATAGGAAGGGTATAACATACTCAATATAGGTACATTTGGGGCACAGTTTAAATTTAGGTACTTTTTGGGTATACATCTGGCTGAGTTATACTTTTCCTTAACTGTGCCACTATACTAGGGTACCTCAAAAGTACCTCATTGTTTATATCTCTGACTGAAAATTTAAATTTGAGTAGGCAGGTAGAATTTTTTTTCATTTTATATGATATTTTTTTCTCACTGTTTTTTTAACTGGATTAAATAAATCTGTTAAAACTGTTTTGTTATGCTACACACTTTCATACTGATCATCTAAACTGTCAGATGTAAACATCTTCAAATGTTATGGTCGAAGCAGAGAATTGACTAAATTTCCACCATTATTACTACAACAACAACAACAACAACAAAAGTATCCTAATTTCAGTAAGATAATTCAAATGGAGTTTTTTATTCTGGGCTTGCCAGGCTTAGGCAAACAATTAGTATTACATTGTAGGTCTTATGAACAATAAATAATTCCAACAAACTATCAAGTCCTTGTTTTCCCAATGTGTTAAATTACAAACAGAACTGGTTGAAACTTATACACCATCCATGAAGCATGCTGCGACAGATAAACATGATGGTAACAGCTGCTATCACAGGTAATGGGGCGTCCCACTACATCAGTGTACTATTGTATGTTCTTTTCAACTCTGTTTAACTAGAACCTTGATCTTATGATCTGACCCAAAACTATTTTGAGAATCATTTCTAATAAGGAAATGTTTAATAAGGTGCAGACTTAAGGATCCCTGTAGTGTACCACTGCCAAAAACTGAAGCTGTGCATTTGAAACTTTTTTTCGATACGACTGTGGCTTTGATAAATCATTACTGAAAATAAAACTATACCATATGCAGTCAGAATTTGACAGAAATACAGCAGACACAATAAACAGGTAAAAGGCACTGTCCAACAGTCAGAGCTCGAGTTAGACAGAAATATAGCAGACACAATAAACAGGTAAAACGGTCCAACAGTCAGAGTTAGACAAAAATACAGCAGACACAATAAACAGGTAAAAGGCACTGTCCAACAGTCAGAGCTAGAGTTAGACAGAAATACAGCAGATATAATAAACTGGTAAAGCGGTCCAACAGTCAGAGTAAGACAGACATACAGCTGATATAATAAACAAGTAAAACGGTCCAACAGTCAGAGTAAGACAGAAATGGGGGAGATATAATAAACAAGTAAAACGGTCCAACAGTCAGAGTTAGACAAAAATACTGCAGACACAATAAACAGGTAAAAGGCACTGTCCAACAGTCAGAGCTAGAGTTAGACAGAAATACAGCAGATATAATAAACAAGTAAAACAGTCCAACAGTCAGAGTAAGACAGAAATGGGGGAGATATAATAAACAAGTAAAACGGTCCAACGGTCAGAGTAAGACAGAAATACAGCAGATATAATAAACAAGTAAAACGGTCCAACAGTCAGAGTAAGACAGAAATACAGCAGACATAATAAACAGGTTAAACGGTCTTTCTGTCAATATATCATCAGACTGGATAAAAATCCTACTGCAGATACACATCAAACTATATTGGTAAAACATGGCTTACAGTCAGTCAAACTGCAGGCAGAATATACGGATGAAACTTTCAGTTTATCTATAACATTGATAACATCACACAGATCTAGAGAATGTAAGTGAGGTGTGGGGGGGGGGGGGAGGTTTTT